AACCATCTTGATTAACCACAGCAAGAAGATCTACTTAGTGTTGTTCAATTTTTGGGAACCTTCGTGGTTCCCAATTTTCTACTCCCGACCAGTATTGAGGCATCCGCCTGCGTACCAGGAAATGTTATTCCTGGTCTAGGGCAATCACCTAAGTACCAGGAATAGCATTTCCTGGTCCAGTGCGCTCTCCCTTCGTACCAGGAATAGCATTTCCTGGTCCGGTGCCTCTCCCTTCGTACCAGGAATAACATTTCCTGGTCCAGTGCTCTCCCCACGTACCGGGAATAGCCATTTCCTTGTACAGCGTGCTCCCCACGTACTGGGAATAGCCATTTCCTTGTACAGCGTGCTCCCCCCCTACGTATTGGGAATAGCCATTCCTACTGATCAATGCTGGGCACATCACGTGACTTGCCTCTTATGGCTCCAGTAGTCCACTAGTATCTGTGCCAAGTCGTCGGGACACCTTTCTCTACCATGCCACAGCCTGCGGCCATAAGGTCACTTCGTGACATTCACTAAGGATTGCATATCCCTTGCCTCGTGGACTGTCGAGGGCAACCTCTGTCGCATGCAGAAGCGGAGCTACACAATGCCAGTAGTTACGGGAACGCGCAGAGCGCAAAATGCAAGTTGCGCTAGTGTCACTATGGTTGACCGAGATTCCCATTTCGCGTGCGAGGCGAGGTAGAAAAACAAAGTTCGCTGGGGCATCGGAAAGACACTGAATGCACCATGGAAGGCTGTGGTCAAATTCTCCTTTGCACAACCGTTCTCCTTACAGCGAAAACGATCCCTAGAAGAGGGCCCGTTCCCATGACCTGTGGTTCTGGCTGACGTCGTTGGATGTCTTTCGAGGGCCCCTTTTTGGGCTCCAACATTCCCATTCACTTCCAGAGAAAACGGTTCTGTACTATACCATTCAAAGCTGCGGATTTGCCATTGCCTCCCAAATCGGTGACCTGTATGAGAGAAGGCAATGGCCTATTTCTCGTCCCCTCTGAAAGAGAGGACATCAGGGTCACGACAAATGAAGTCCTTGATACCTGCGGGACGATCGCCGCCGTCCATGCGAAAGATACCTCCTAAACTTCTGTCGCCACAGTCGCCCTCGAGTGATAATGTCTTCAGTATCCGCAGCTCATGCGACCTTGCAGGCTTTTGAAAAGCGAGATAAAAGAGAAGGAAGCGTCCCAAAAAAGAGTGGTGGGCGAAGAGCGAACGAGAATTTCGAGAAGCGCAAACGCAGTCTCCTTAGAAAATGCAATGAGACTGTTGAATTATATGACGCAGATCTATATATCGCTGTTCGCCGGAAGGGGAAGTGTACGGTGTATTCAAGTTGTTTCGTTTCCAGTTGGCCTCCTCGTCAAGAAGATATGGTGAGCTTTTACCCTCTACATCCTACATCCTAACTAAGAATATTGTAGGAAACTTACTATCCAGTCCCTATTGTGATGACTCCGGAAGATTTTCGAAGAGAGACTACGGACGACAGGGAAGCTAGCAGTTTGGGTGAGAAAGGTGGCTTCTTTGACGAGCCGACCTCGTCAAGGCCCGCTGCAAAATCGTCGGTAGTCGGAGTGGGACTTAAAGGACCTTGAAAGCTGTCGGGCGTAGATAGGATAGAGATGGTCAGCCTTGAGTGTTTGGATGAGCGGCACAGGCAATATCAGTTATCGCACCAGCAACTTGAAACGTGCATTCGCATCCGAATACCAACGACCGTGGTCGCGAAGTTCCCTGATTACCCAGCTTGGCGCCATAGCTTCGGCTGATTCTTGCCTTACTGTATTAATTGGGAACTTGTCTGCTGCAATCTGGCTTCTTGGTCTGTGGTCTTTGATGCCTGGCCTGAGACTAGTGGAATTCGAGTATCCCGCTTCAAACATGAGTAGTGTTCTCAAACCTCTCTTCCCTTCTATAGCCACAGGTCCTGGTACATCAACCTCATCGTCGATGTTTCGGCCGACCAGACGTCGGTGCCGACGTTCCAGATTGGCCATCTCGATTGTGTAGCGCTTCTGCAGTATCTTAATGTAGTGGTCGAGCGGGCTCACCCCAACTTGAGTCCATCTAGGCACAGGGGCAAACGGTGGACGAGTCTCAGTCCCCAGCCTTAGTTACGTCTATCGGTGCTCGTGTCAAAGCCCGTGGAAAGAGGAATATGGGTCGGCGAATATGGGTAGAAGGACTAGGTACGTGCCTTTGAGGCACGTGGTTAGCGAAATATAGGGATGTGCCCCTTGGAAAGCGTACCTTGGAAAACGTACCTGGGTGCGTGCCCGAGGCTTCATTGGGGGGTAAGTACAGTGGTAGAGGCACGTGTTTATCGACGCAGGTAGGGAAATAGAAGTCTACCCTCGAAAGCGTACCTGGGTACCACGTGACCATAGTACTGCCAAGAGCCCAAATCGGCTCTGGAGCTCGAAAGTAATTTTATAGGGGGCCCTTTCGAGTCACTTAGGTTAAGCGCCTATGGGAAGAGAAGTATAGGTAAGTGAATATGGGTAAGCGAATACAGGTAGGTGGACCTGGGTACGTTCATATTGCCGAGGGCCTAAACCGGCTCAGGAGCCCGCAAAGCCTAACTCATAGGAAGAGAAATATGGGTAAGAGATTGTGGGTAGGTGGACCTGGGTACGTGAGGAGAAAGCGTACCTTGGAAAGCGTACCTTGGAAAGCGTACCTTGGAAAGCGTACCTTGGAAAGCGTACCTTGGAAGGCGTACCTGGGTACCCGCCCAAAGCCCTTCATTAGGAGGCACGTGGTTTATCGACGCAGGTACGGAAACATAAGGATGTGCCCCTTGGAATGCGTACCTGAGAAAGCGTACCTTGGAAAGCGTACCTGAGAAAGCGTACCTGGGAAAGCGTACCTGAGGTCCGCCTACCCAGGTCCTTTCTACCTAGGTCCGCCCATACTGTCAAGGTCTAGCACGCCGGCCATGATTTCTTCGCCGGAAAGACATCCTTCCGCTTAAGTTTGTTTCGCAACCTCCGGACTCCCAGGATAGGATAGAGATTGGCCTGGAGTTCACCCAAACAAAGAGAGGAGAAAGTGGTTGGAGACCATTTTTCTAGGTGGCAGAGTAAGCAAACTTGCTCTTAGCACGGGGGGCTTTGCGTGGTGGCCGCCACACCCTCAGTTGGGCTTATTGGACGCTCCAAGATCCCATGGGATGGTTCATCTCAAACCAACTCTCGCGGGGCGATGGCGAGCGGCGCGAATTGCGTTTGCACATCGGCCTAGGAGCCTGAAAGTACCTAGAGGCAGCTATGCAGCGTACAACTATAAATACAGGTGCTTCGCTTCCAAAGATCAAGCTGTTCTCCCAAACTGCTTCTTCCTTCCGCTCCATGTAAGTGCACCTGTTTCTCTGTGTAGAGTGGCGTGGTTCGTGGATAGGAAAGGGCTGGTAAGACACGCGCATACCGATGAAAATGAGTTGTGTGCGGGAATGACTCAGTAGTTGGGACGAGAGGGGCTCTGCAACGCCGGATGGGGCTCGTGAGGTCCACACCCTGAGAGCTTCATACCCTGACAACAAAGACGACCGGATACGCTGCAATAGGGCAAGGGACCCTGCCTGAGCACAGTCCAGCTGGCAATTGAGGCACATTACGAAAGATGTTTTTTCCCTTGGTGGTAATCTCTTGCTCTTGCTCACTAGGGCTGTTAGAAAGCTGCTCTGAATGTAGCAAGTAGGTTTTATGCGGTATTATGCGTAGGATAGGCTACACAAAGTCGGACTTTAAGTTACGGTAATAAACCCACCATCCTCATGCTCTCCTGCCATAACCTCGCCGCACTCTTGAAATCATAGATATGCGGTGCATACCCCGGGGCCAACCGGAGATGATCATCCCTACAGGGCTCGCCTTCTTGACAATCCTCCAGAAATTTTTCTCCTTTGCCTTCCCACTCTCTGGCTACCGCAGCCCACACCGTGGTCGCAGCGCCTTGCTCCGCACTCTTCAGCTTAGCCGCAATTGCTGGATTCTGCACAATTTGAGCAAAGTCTTCTGGTGAAGTTGTCCGATTCAAGGATGTCGTAGCTATGTATCCCGGATGGACGGCTAATGCGTGAAGACCCTTAGCGCCATAGCGGCGGTCAATTTCGAATGCCATATATATGTTTGCCGTCTTAGATTGCGCATATGCCAGAAGGGGTTCGTATCCTTCTGGCCTGTTGTCAAAGTGATAATCGTCAAAACGGATACCGGATTGACGATGTCCGTTGGCTGTAAGTACGATCACACGAGAGTTGAACGCCGGGGTTGACGATGCGATGAGGGCGTCTTTGAGCTCCTGAAACAATGCAAAATGGCCCAGGTGATTAATTCCGAAATGCTGTTCGAAGCCGTCCTTTGTTTGGGCTTTAGGGTAGCCCCTGATACCTAAAACGGCTCGTCAGATGATATATTTCCTGTTGAAAAGCAGACATTATGTACTTACCAGCATTGGCGATCAGTACGTTGAGCTTGCCTCCAGACTGCTTGAGAAAATTTCCTGCTGCAGCCCGTACGCTTTCCAGTGAGTCGAGGTGCATTTCGATAAACGCTATTTTACCTGGTCTGTCATATTTTGAGAGAGACTCTACTACCTGCTTTCCCTTTGCAACGTCTCGGCCGGTGAAGTAGACATCAGCACCCGTAGCACGAAGCGCTCGCGCAGTCTCAAGACCTAGGCCAGCCGTGCAGCCTGTAATCAGGAAGATTTTACCGACAAGCTGTCCGTCGAGATTCTGATCCCGGATTATTTTCAACGCGTTAGGTCGCGCGTCACCTGGACCGTTGGTGTCCCTGTGGTCGTTGGCATAGGGTGCGAGTCGGGCCATTATTAGCGCGACAGGCTTGTAGTGTATATAGAAAGGAAATATCTTTTGAAATACTGGAGCATTACTCGACCCGGCGGGTATCATATAATAGTTTAAGCAAGTCCACTTAGTTCTATCTTCCTCCGACCTCCCTTATATTTAAGTGTCGGGATCGTTCACGGGCAGGCCGAATGTAGCCGGAGATAGCACGGACATTAGCTCATGAAGCGGCGTTAAGTAAAGGGTAATCCTAGCGCTAAGCAGATAAGTAGGCTGACTTATAAAGGTCATCAGAAGATGACCTTTAAAGTTCTAGAGCGGAGTTGAGCAACTTCAGAGTTGAGCGCGGCCGCTGCTGATGACTGTGGGCAGAAGAGGGCAGTTCGTCGTGGAGATATGCAGCGAGGTCGAGGACATCGTAACGAGATCTGACGAGTCTCCAAGCCGCATCACCTGTTCGTAGGTGAAGGGATAGACACAAATGTTGGAGCAAGTCCGTTGGGAAGAAAACCATCTGCTGGCGACTTGTTGTAGGTCGGCATGGATATTCCCCAAAAGAAAAGGTCGGACGAAGGTGGGAGAAAGAAGTGTTGATGTGCTTCGTTGCGGTGCTTGGCTATGTATGGCTGTTGCGGTCTTGTTGACGACGGTCTCGTGGCTGGATTTGTACTAATTCTGTCTGGGTATCCCGGAGGCATAGTGGTGACCAGGCGCGCGTCTGGATGCGATGATGCGGCTGGTACGGGCATGGCGCTGGTGCTAAGTTAAGCTGAGGAGGCTCCTCACTAGGTGCTCGGGTGATCGGTAGCGATCGAAGCTGGCATATGATAGGCGAAGAGAGCGCCAACTAGCTGTCGGCTCGGGAAGGGAGGCACGGTCAGAGTCGTGCTCTTATTGGGGCACATTCTGGTACAATAGACTATTTCAGGACCCAAATAATTTCGAAAGCTTTGTAGATATTTGGTAATCAAAGGCGGTCTCTGTGCCGTACTGTAATAAATGGAACTCATCGTTTCGGAATATCAGCGGCTCTTGCTCCGTTTACTCGCCCTTGCCACCTTCTTTCCCATACCAAGAATTGTGGTGTGCCGGGTTTGCTTTTGGCCGGCGTGGATGATGCATAGTTGATATCCAATTCACGAATAGATTGCCAGCTGAGAGGCCGATATTAAAGTCGTTCGACCAAAAACTGGTAACTAGCGTCAGCAGTATGGTCACAAGCAACACAAGACCTTCAAACATGACACCAGACACAAGAAACATGCTACCAACCTCACGTTCTCTGAGTAAAAGACCGCGAAAGATTGCATCGCGTGGTTGATAGTTGCCGGTACTCTGGAAATCGCTGTCAACCGCGTTAGCCGAAAGGGTCACGCGAATCAGGCCGCAAACCAACCTGTAGCGTAGTATAAGAGGCTCATCCGGCTCGAGATTGAGGGACTTCTGTTGCGCTCCCACCGAAGGATCGTGGAAGCAATGAGTCAAGTACCAGAGTCCCTCCATGATCGTTAAACAACTCAGGGTTTTCTGCTCGCTCTCCAGTGGGCATGGTCCGGTCAGCTCGGGGTCGGAATGGCTACCAAGAGGGCAGTCCAGCTGATCATGCTCCCAGGTGTCTGTGCTCGGGATATAGACGCATCCCGGCCCTTCTCTTGGATCCACACAGGCCCTCCATCGCTCTGCGGATTTCTTGAGGGTCTCGCGCCGTCCAGAGGTGTCAAGTGGCTCGACCTTGCCGATGAAAGCATCCTTCTGCTCATTGAACCCTGCAAAGCGGATCTATCAAGTATTGTTAGCTACCTTAGTTGCCCAAATAGGTTTAGGAGGACGCTTAATACCTTGACACGTTCGACTTTCTCGACGTCGGCAAGGCTAATGTACTTTCTCCAAGTGCCTCTTCGAGCGTAATAGTGTGCGCGGATTTGGTTCCAGACAAGTTCTTCGTCCTCCGGGTCGGTCACTGGTACGTCGACTATATATGCGCTTGCGCAGGACCTCCATGCTATCAGCACGCAGTGGTCCTTCCCACCTTGCTCCCTCCGATGCTCGAAATGCTGCCAAAAAGCGTTCGTGGATCCGTACTCCTTACGTTCGATCTTCGTCCTCTCCATTGTTGAATCAGCCTTCACTAGCCCACGTCGACGCACTTGGCCTGAATTTGCTGGTGTGGCTGGACTTGTCTGCCAGGCGATAATGGCTTCAGGATGCTCATGACTCGGTCCGCTGATAGAGGTAGTGCTCTGGACCGAAGCTGCACTGGCTTCGATGTCCATCTTTTCCTCCAGGACTAGAACGATGATCAAGTTACTTCAGTGATCATAGGATAAGGTACACTTATAAGGCTGGATGGAGAGCGTCAGGCACTTGAGGCTGAGGTTCGCCGGCATGGCTTCACCGGTTGCCTAGCTGGGTTGAAGAGGGCATATCGACCAATGGGATGTCAGTACAAGTCATGTTCGTGGTACGTCAATTCAAACAAGCACCCTATGTTCGGTTCGTTCGGTTCGTGTGGTTCTGCATTTCCAGTATATGTCCATTATCATCAGAAACCTCTCCGGTTCAATCGATTTCCGATAGCCTCGAGCTACTCTGAGTTAGCTGTTCCTTCTAGTTCTTTTAACTCCGAGAGACTCGTTCCTCGTTCCGCATTGTATAGCTTTTACAGTAGTGGCGACAGCGACGTTGCAAGTAGAGTCAGAAAAAGTAAGGAATTGCGTTGACGCTCCAGCAAATCCGCATTTCATCGGATCGGATGGTTAAGCTCCCGGCGCGGTCCATTCCCGAGGGCTTCCCTAATCTCAAAAATCGTGCCAACGGGGATCGACAGACTGCCCTCACGACCCTTTGCATCAAATACATCTATGTGTACCTGCTCAAGTTCACGGTTGGGCTGTACCCCTTATAGTCGACCTTGAATGCTTCTGCGGCCTTGATTGCGACTGTCAGATGCTTCACTGTCAAAGGCTCATTTCTCCGAGGCCAATTCCATTTCTGTCCGCACAAAATTCTTGATCTAGAAGGTAAACGTCAGTTAGATGTTGACTTGAAACGAAACTCCACTTGAATGGAGATGCCCTACCTGTCTGCCATTGTTGCTTTCTTGACTAAGACACTCTACCTCCCTTTCCGATACGTTCACCCCCATCTTCACTTTATCTAAGAACGTCTTCCATATTCCTTTCTTTGCACTGATACCCAGCTCACTAAATTTAATTGCAAAATATATTCTGCTCTGGAGTGCCTTATCAAATGTCTCCACCCGATTGGTCGTCAGGAACATGATGACTTAGGCCTACTCTAAATAGCGGAAAATACCGATACCAGGCTATTTCGATGAATATCGTGATGAGGTCGTTCGGCAAGGTACAGGTCGGCCTTGTCAATTAGGACGATGGATCTTGCTTCCACAAACTAAGCCATAAAAGACAATGTCTACCATCTCCTTCAGATCTTAAATGGAACATTCACTGGGACCCGCGGTTTACTATTATCCACTCTACTTCAAGAAGATGCGTTACTGCTGCTCTCGTTTACTCACTCAGCATCCAAGATTCCACTCTTTTCACTTTCCCTTTTTCCTCCCTGGTCTTTTCTATCCATTTCTCCACGTTATCGACAGCTTGCTGAGGTGACTGCTTGTTCGCCAATAGAAGTGACATCACTTCTGCCGGGCTAAACTCTAGCTCTGGCATTTTTGCGACGAACGACTTTGCCAAAAGCCTGACTGTTTTCCTGTATTCAGCGGTTTTCGTTGGATCAGGGTCGTTGCCATCCACACTCTTCCCTAGGTCCTCATGGTTGCCATCCAAGCGATTAAAGACAAGGTAGAAGAGTTGAGTCATCATCTTCCTATCGGTGAGTTGAAACTCGACTTTCATATCCACGCGGCCGGGTCGTACCAGCGCGTCATCGAGGCGCTCCGGATGATTCGTTGTCATGATCAACACACGGCCTTCAGGTGATCCTACACCGTCGATAACATTGAGCAGAGTGGATAGGGACACCATTTCCCGGATAGGATTTTTGGGAGAGGAACATCTATCGTTCTGATCATGAGTTGGATCAGTGACTTCGGACCGTTTCGAGCTGGCGGCATCGATATCTTCCAAAAGGACAAGACACTGCGGCGGGAGCTCAGAAAACAAAGTCGACAAGTCTTTGTCATCAATGCTGGAGAGATTGACGACATAGATGTCCAAACCAAATTCACCTGCGATGGACAAGCTCAAGCTGGATTTTCCAGTTCCGGGTGGTCCATACCACAGATAGCCTCGTTGATAAGGAATACCTCGATCGGAATACCAACCTGGGGCTGTCGGCTCAAAGAAGTCTGAAAGATCTCTTAACAACAAAGATTTTACCGTTTCATCGAGGATGACCGTCGGCATCTTTCTCTTATTCCTTACTCTGGGCCTTTTCCATTTATCGCCTTGATGTTCAAAGATGGACGTTTTGTTCTGAACAAGACCCAGGTAATGATGACGACATTCTTCGAGGAGCTCCTTTAGAATTCTTGTAGACCTGCCGAAACACGAAATGGATAGTTCTTCCGATTGTGACTCTCCTGGGCTCTGCATCCGTCGAAATACCAACAAATGGTGCTTATGCCAGAAGTAAAATCGTCCATTCCAAGGAGCATAATGCAAAGACTTCTGACTGGCACCATCTGGAATAGTGCGCATATGTTGCCATGGACGGTACCATCCCCATGGGTTCGTACAATCGACTGTGGCGATGGAGGAGCAAGCGTCACGCGTGAATTTCTGACTTTCGGCCCAGGTAATAAGCATGTCGTAAGCTTCATCGACACATGACACATAAACTGTCGAAACTAGGGAGTGTTAGAAAGCCATACCACTCTGGCTTCAGAAAGAGGGTTACGAACCGAGAAATTTGTCCACCAATTCCCACAAGTGTTCGTACGCATGTCTGCCCAGAAACAGGAGTATCCCACAGGTACACAGCAGACCAGTATAGCTGTTCAGATGGTCTGTCAGAAGCTGTTGGATCGCGGGAGATACGTTGGCAAAGCCGGGCAAAAAGATGTCCACAACGGAGACCCGGGGAGATGGGATGGATTGGAAAGGTAAAGAGCTAGCATTGTTAAATCCGGCCATTGTGGTGTTGAGGATTGACAGTAAGGCAAGAGATAACGCGGTGTGCTAGAGTAAGAAGCGGACGATTGGGCTGTGCGAAGAGGTCGTATGGTTCGACTCTGGAGAAAATTCGAACAGCTTTATACCCATCAATATAACATGAGTTGCATCTTTGTCACGATTACCCATTGGACTCAGCTTTCCATCCAATATCCTTCCTTCCATATTAGTACATGAACATGTTGGATTGATCTGCGCAGCCATTGGGAGGTGCAACAATGTTCGGATTGCATTTGTTCATCCACTGCAACCGTCTTTCAACCTTATGCTGCCTTCCGTATTTGAACCAGAGACATTGTAGATCTTATCTGTTAGCATAGAAGTGAGGTAGACGTATCAATATGCCTGCGGCTTGCCCTACCTGCATGAGACAGTTCATCAACATAGTACACGGATATAGGTGTATGCAGACACTTCCATTGCAGAGGTTGAGGAATGGGTTGCATGGACTATTTTTGCAACACTCTGGTCGTCGTATCCCATGGCCAAGCCTTGCGCTATACCTCTTTAGTTTAGTAAATTTAGCCTCCACTGATCTTTGTCGCGTTTCGCTAACCTACACTCGCTAACCTACACTCGCTAACCTACACTCGCTAACCTACACTCGCTAACCTACATTCACTAATCCATCGCCGATCGACGGAAGGAGATTATGCTCGAGCGGCGAGGTCATATCAGGTGCTGGCCCCACGGCGCAGCGCAATGGCCCGTTTGGCCAGTCTCATGAAATGGTTCGTGCCCAACTCCTGTCCAACTTTTGTCATGTGCCAGGCTGCCAAAACTCCCGCATTTCGCCACTTCAGGATCGAGAGTCGAAATCGCAATCCTCTCACCAATATCTGTATGCCAACTTCGAAGCGTCCTGAGATGCTGCGCAAAAGGCCGATATTTATCGTAGTATGCGGTCAATCGATGAACTCTTCATAAACAGCAAATAACTTCCCGTCCGCCAACGGATTTGCAACATTCTCGACATTCGAAAGCGACCCTTACGGTCCTGCCTGCGCCTGGCGCCGAAAGACTCCATCCGCCGCACTTCTCTAACCCGCCTCAATAAATCGCAGATAACCATTTCATCCAAGCGCCAGTGTTTAAGATTATATCCCGATGGTTTGTCCTCATTCCGTAATCAAGACTCTTCTGACATACTATTTAGTCGTTTGATATTCAGCCTCTCACCAAAGACGCAGAATTTTTCAGCAATGCTGAACACTCTCCAACCACGATCGAAGGATCAGGACAGATGGTGTACTGGCGGGACTGTTTCATTCGTGTTTACAAGGCCGGTAACACAGAGAAACCCACAGCGAAGTATGACACTTGCAATGGACAAGGCGTGGTGCAGAAAGGCACTAGTCTTTGGCTCGGCGGGAAGAGAGGGAGGGTGAAAGAAGAAGCATAGTATGATGTATGGTGAAATGGTTTGGTATTATGCATACAGCTTCTTTTTGATCCGTGTTCCTTCCCACAATCCTAGAGATACAAAGATGACAGCCCCATCGTGGGCCTGATGCGAAATCACCATGGACACGCCGTCTGTACAGTCCCGCCATTGCCTGGCATCGTCCTGATATAATGGACTTGTTGCAATTGCATTGGACATCTCGGGGCCAAATGTGGAAGAAATGATGTGGCGCCGACACCCTTGGAGAGTGAACTTGGGATTGGGCAATATTTTCGAACCGCCATCGGCGAAACAAACGTATCGGAGGCCGGCCCTTGTTTCCAAGCGCACCTCGAACAACTCCCAGGCAAGATGTTGTACCTTATCGTCCGTGACTTCCAATGCCATTTGGCATCCAAACTTGTCCGTGAACGGCGCATTCGGAAATGTCATCGATATGGCAGCCACCAAGATATTTTCATTCTTTGGATCGGGGTTTCTCCTAATTGCGTTGGAGAGGTCTCGAGGGAAAAGGCGTGTTGCCTCAGCGAGAGATGCATTGACCAGCACATGTTCATCTTCGGCAAAGCAATCAGAAGAGTCGACAGAGGAATATACTGTCATTTGTTCCAGGGCCGAGTGATTGAGGGAAGATGGGTACACGTTCTCATTGCTCGGTGGGTCTGTCGGGTTGAGTATGTCCGTTGAGGAGGTCGGTGGGCAACCGTCGCCCTCCGTCAAGCCTGCACTGTATTAGAAAGATAATGAATGGATAGTGAGCATACCCACGGCGTTTTTTATTTGGCTGTTGCGACATATTACCTTTTTGAAGTGGTTTGATCCTTTTGTGGTGCAGGTTGTCAATTTTCTTCGCGACTTCAGGCTGGATCGCAGCCGTTACTCGTGCCGCTAATGATCTTCGAAATGCGGCAGGCGCATTCTCAAGATCATCGATCAAACGGCTGCAGTCAGCTTTCCCAAGAAAATGGCATCGATTTTCTGCGGCATTTTTGGTGAGGAAGTACGCCAGCCAGGCAGGGAATCTGCCCTCATTTAGGAAGATTCTTGCCGTGGAGTTCTCTTCATTTTGTTGGGTTTCTAACCATGATTTCACTAATCCTTTTGGCGCACGCTCATAATTGTTAAGTTGCTTGAGAAGCAATGTGACCTGCTCTGACCGAGTTTCGTTTGCTGAGGCGTTGACAAAGATCTGTGAGTCCTCTTCCATGGGTCAGCTCGGTAAGGTAGGCCAGTGAGGTAGATTTTGAAATGGCACAATTGGGGATGCAGGTTTGGGAGGGAAGGTTTGCATGGGATACCTCTATATTTGAGAGGCGGTGTTCGGCGGAGGCGGGGGTTTGCCCCCAATTCACCGACATTGCACCAATCCCATAGCACAACATGGGTGCAAAACGCGGGTGGATCAGAAGTGTGCGTTGTTCACAATCCAGTGCCAAGTCGCGCTCTTGTGATGCACTTCAGGCCACCCCGAGGAATACTACGTGACCCTCTGACCAACCAGTTGGCTTATCCGTTGGTTGCCTGCGGGAGACTGCTCCTTTGGTCACCCATCCTTTCAAATTGACGCCAACTAGATAAGAAAAAATGCATCCTGTCTTGCATGTGGATTTCAGGTCCTGTCTATATCTTCTGCGACGTGTTCACGACCCCATCTAGGGCTCCTTTTAGACTATGGTTATCCATATCCTCGCCGGTCCAAGCCTCCTAGATTTCAAAGTCCTATTTCGAAGTGAAGGCTCCCCTTCCGGAGAGAGGAAGAGAGTTTTACTGGCTCCTTGTGCTGACTACATTTCCACTATTCTTACAACATCCTCTCTCCGAGTGAGGCCAAACTTGTTCGCGGATAGTATGATAAAGTAGGTTGTAAAGAAAACATGATCGAAATGATTTTGCCTCTCCAGGCCCCTTATCGTCAGAATTCTCCACTTACATTGAGTACCAAGTTTCATTTCTTCGGTTTCTTGAACGTCGCCTGTTCTGATATTTGGGAAACAGAAGTTTCTGGTGTGACTCCCTGGGGATCGAGGAGCCTCAGCTCATCGTCACCTGTAGCTCCTGAGTCCGAGAGGTGATGGCTTTCCAGACCTTGTGAAAGTCCAGATGATGAGGGGAATTGCAGATCGGATTCTTCCGAGAGTTCAAAGTGTATATCGGGTGGTATCGCATCGATTGCTGAGCAAAGCCTTTTGAAGTGAGCAGGCATCCAGGTATTATAAACACTTTTGGTAAACTTGTACGCCGTCCATTTCTCTTTCCCATCAAGTGCGGTAAAGTCGAAGGTATGAATGGGATGACGGTAGAACGTGGTCTTTTTGCCCTCGATCACAGGATAATGGCCATAGATCCTCACTGATCGGTGGTCGTGCGAGATGGAAAAGGCGAGGGTCTCCCGATGAAGCTCTTGCTCGCGCTTTACGAGCCGGAACAGTTCCACGACTCCTCGAACCGCGAGAGTCATGCTGTGCGCGTTCTGTCGATCTGCCACGTCGAGTGCGGCCGCACCGCACTTCACTTCGCTCGAGAAGAAGGGGAAGTACATGTACCATGTGCCCATGAAGAAGGAGTTGTCGGTGAGATCGCCCACAAACGGCTGAAGTTTCTGAAGTTGGGTCTCGGTGAATGCTTCTCGTCGGAAACCCACGGAGTAGTCAGGTTGCGGGCGAGGTTTCGTTAATGGGATGGAGTTGTTCCAGCCTTCGTTTACGCTTTCAATCAACAGACGACAATGCTGATTTCCGCGTATGGCAAGGACTTCCGCCGATGCAACAATCAAAAGTGAGATATCTCGAATCACTCTAGCCTCATTCTTGTTTCTGATTGCTTCACAAGTCTCTTCGAAGTACTCGTCAGAAAACATCGTATCTTGCGGTACTGTTGGTTGTGCGTCAAGGAGCTGCTGGCATAGTCGCTTGCTCTCGTTTGTAGTACCTTGCCCATATTTGCCCATGAAACTGTCCTTCGTGGCAAGCACGGTCTCATAACGTGCATTTTGGTAAGGGGCACTCTTCTCGTCCCTAGGCTTCTGGTCACTCGGTGTGGCTGAACTGGGTGCGCCAGACTCGCTATCCGATCGCTTTCGGCGAAGTGAGGCGGTGGATTTCTTTCTCGCCAATAAATGATTCATTTCCCCACTTTCGTTGAAGTATCCTGGCGGCCAGCGGTATGTCTGCGTCCAATATGTAACAGAATCCACGTCCCGAACAGAGGGGCTAGGACCAGATGTTCGCGGTCGTTTTGGAGAGGGCGGGTTTAGTTGCTGTTCAGTTGCTCGTTTCCGCTTCAGAGGTTTCGATGGTAGAAGGGTAGGAGGTGGGTGCGCACGCTTTATTGGGTCAGTCTTCCGTCACAGAATAACATTGGCGACTTACATTAGGACCTTTAAAGTCGCTGACTGGAGATGGTAGAGGCTGTTGGCTGGCTTTTGGTTGAGTCTCGTTAACCTCAATCAAGCGGTCCAAACGGGCGCTCCGTCGAAGAGGGTTTTGCTTTTGTCTCTTCCTGATGCCTTGAGGGTGTTTCCCTTTGCTAGTCGGTGGAGAGAGGGGAGCGGATAAATGACCTTGGTGTGGCAGCTTCACGGACTGCCTTCTGGGCTTCTGAGCGGCTATACCGTTTCGACGTGCCATGGTAGCTCGAGATGAGGTAGAGAGGAATGGGCAGCTTCATGTAGTTGCGGGCGAAGCGCAGTCGCGGTCGGCACTTAATGCGCCCAGACTAGGTGACATGTGACATCACATGAAAAACGGACGGTTGGGCCACAGGGCTCCTTGGCAGGCCATACGATGCACTTCTCTGGTGCCTTGAAGCCCTTTCCCACATGCGGGCGCTCACGATAAGGGAACAAAAGTCCGTTCCATCAGATTTGGTACAGCCAATGCGGTGGCATGACAGTCATACACACTCAATCCATACTACCAGCCATGTTCTTATCACTCCTGCGATCAGAGGAGAGTACTATGTCCATGCACTGAATGTTCTTCCTCAGCGCTATTGGCTACTTTCCCCTATGATGATCTTCGTAGATCAGCCAACATGCCAGGGCCCTGTGGGCCCAGAACACTGTTCCACGGATCCCGCTCTCTCACGCACAACCTTGAGTACGTTCTACTCAACTCTCCCACCCTTGCTCAAACTCATGTTTGCTACTGTAGCATTTTGACTATCGAACGCAGCCTCTCCCCTCAAAATTGTCAAATGACGGGTGTCAAGCACTCCCTGGCTGAGCACATGACGACGAGAGTGAATATCGCTCGCGAGGAAGACCAAGTTCAAGCAATATGCTAGGGAACTGATGTCGCGAAAGCAACCCGGTGACGAACTCATTAGCTCATCCTTTACTTGCTAAGAACATCGCACGGCATCTTCTTCCCTTCGATGAGACTAGGCGAATCGATGCTACATGCAGCTCAGGTACTCAAATGACCGGAAGATCGAAAGTTTTGCGCTGGCCGAGGTAAAGACCGCTGGGGCCTTTGCGTCGCTGTTGCCTACGGGACGGAGTGAAGGTTTACCAGGTACCCATCCTCTTTGTATAACCCATATCCTGGCAGACCCTGCAGCTCGTCCCTCAATGCTCACCAACTCCCGAGAGCGGCAGTGAAGGGCCCCTATACTCTCACCTGGCCAAAATTCCCGCATGCCAGAGCCATCCTATCCATTGGCCGTACGTGGACGTTGTTATCAGGTCGGCCAATCGATTTCCACAAGGTCAGTATCGTTCACTCCATTCCAATGTTCTCCACACAGCCGTGCTTGGGTGAAACCGCCTCCATCCTGGTAGCGAAAGGACAATTGCTGTTCAGTGTCTTGCCCGCATGAGTCTGCCTAACACTTCCCCCCTCCCCCAACAAAAACTAGTCCGCATGACCATCGCCGGGGGTGCCGAGGACTGTGACCAAGCGGCAAACTATGAAGAATTGAGGATATGCTGGTTGCACCCTCATCCGGGCGCGCGTTCTCTTGATGTCAATCTTGTTCTCTCAGTACCGCGTAGGATAGGGTCTACGTGTTGTGATCCAGAGTAAGGCCCAATTCGGGGTATCCTGCTGTCCCACCGGGGTTCATATTCCCTTATTCTGGATTCCACTCCGAAGTCGATTCCATCCACTGCTTGATCGAATGCGTGTTCGCTTAATGTTACCTCCCACAGTACTGCGCGGTACAGCAGCCATGGAAGGATTTTGAAGCGCTGTCTGCGCTCAGGTCCCATGGCCCAATGGGGTGGTCGCCACTTTCTGCGCGGCCACGCCCTCATCTCGTGGTTTTGGTCGTGCAAAATACTAAGTGGAACCCTGTTCTGGTCCCCTCAACCGTTGAATCTTGGAGAATCGCTGTCGAACCGACTAAGACTGTACGAAATACGAAATTGCAGGCTCCCCAGACACAACGTGTCCTCAGCCAAACCTGTCCCCAGACACAACCTGTCCCCTGGGTCGAAAGATGTCGAGTGTTCGTGAGAAACGGATCGCCTTGGTGGCGGAAGTGCCGCAAGTGCCAGTTGTAGTGCATTGAGCTTGAGCGCTCCCTTTCTCCAATGCTCCATCTCTAGCTCTACCATCGGCCTCCGAGCTCGGTACACCTAGCCTCCCATTCGAAGAACTCCGTTGGCTAGGCACTGAGACCTAATTCCTCAAAGGGATGTCATTCAGTCTCGACCGGAAATTACTACATTCTTTCCGCAGAGCGATTATTGTACTTTCATACCAGTAAGAGTGGAATCCTGCAATCCAGAAGGTGCGTACTTCGCCGTCAATGATTGTCTTATCTAGCAATTTCAGCAAAATGACACCAGTGCCTGCATTTCTCCCAGAGACTGCGTTTGTCCAGAGACTGCAAGTGGCCAGAGTCTGCGTGTCTCCAGAATCCGAAGTGGCTCTCTGGAGGGCTGTGCACCAAGGGTCCCCCGAAATGGAAAAACTTTTCACCGGGAACTCCTTGTGTAGGTGCCAGAACGGGGACCAGGGGTAAGTTGTAGGTATAGAGAGCCGCCAGACGTCACCTCTCTCTAAGCACAGCTGTGCCAAGAGGTCACCCGAGGTCACGTGGTGCCAAGGGGTACTACACTTGGCGCTCTTTTGTTGATGTTCTGTTTGAAAAGCTTCAGCCCGGCGGTTGACTATGCGGTCCGTATTCTCAATGTCCTCAATCGTCTCTCATAGCTCATTACCGCCTTTTGGCACCTTTTGTGGGATCTGCAGACCGCTGTGTATGCTAAGACTAGACAACCTTCCCCGAATCTCCCAATGAAGAGCTGAACTTCTCGATCGGCCCCTTGACTTCATTGTCAATATCTTCGATGAGACGGTAGTCTGTTGCAAGAGTACAACGAGTCAATCAGGACTTCGAAGAGTGGGTTCTTGCTCTCTAGATTCGGTCGAGGCCAGTTTGCACTCGTGGTATCACAAGCATGAGTCGTCTATTATCGAGCAGGCAAGCTGACGAGCTGTGCGTACCTGCCTTTGTGGATGCACTCTAACAACAGGATCCAGATCGAAGCTAACACTGTAATCTCACAGGCACAAGTCAATCATTGCATACCTGCTGGCGAACAACCTGCCGAACTCTGCCGCTGCGCTCCGAGCAGAGTCGAACCTTGGGGAAGACGTCTTCGATGGTTCTACTGTGAAAAAGTACGAAACGTTGCTGGAGAAAAAATGGACAAGCATTGCGAGGTTGCAGAAAAGGGTATGTCTGCGCTGCAGACTCTCCGTTCCCCCTACCACGTCTGCATATACCACATCGACATCTGACCAGCATTTTAACATAGATCATGGACGTCGAATCCCGAAACACGGCATTGCAGTCCGAGCTCGACAGTGCAACACCCAGCTTCCTCTCCAGGCGCAACCAAGATCCCACTTCCTGGCTTCCTAGATCTCCTCGATATACCCTGGAATCGCACCGAGACACCATAAACTCTATTGCTTTCCATCCAATATTCTCCTCTATTGCCTCAGGCTCTGACGATTTCACCATCAAAATATGGGATTGGGAACTCGGCGACTTGGAAAGGACAATTAAAGGACACACGAGAGCAGTGCTAGATGTTGACTACGGCGGCCCACGAGGTGGCATCCTTCTGGCATCCTGCAGCTCTGATCTATCCATTAAGCTATGGGATCCGGCAGACGAATATAGGAATGTTCGTACTTTGCTAGGCCATGATCATAGCGTCAGTGCCGTTCGTTTCATTTCCTCTGGAGATTCTGTTGCACCAGTATCTGGAAATTTGCTTGTTAGCGCAAGCAGAGACAAAGTTCTGATGATATGGGATGTCACCACCGGGTACTGTGTGAAGACTATACAAGGCCACACTGGCTGGATACGAGATGTTTGCCCCTCGTTCGACGGACGGTTTCTTGTGTCAACCGGTGACGATATGACAGTTCGATTGTGGGATATTTCCTTTTCCAATCCGCAAAACACGTCGACGATGGTTGGTCATCAGCACTACAATGAATGTTGCGCATTTGCGCCACCTGCCTCGTACAAGCACCTTGCACCCTTGGCCGGATTGAAGAAACCGCCACCTCAACGGAATGCTGCAGAGTTCATGGCGACTGGGTCGCGAGATAAAACTATCAAAGTCTGGGATTCTCATGGGACTTGCCTCATGACACTAGTAGGTCATGATAACTGGGTGCGAGCGCTCGTTTTCCATCCCGGAGGCCAATATCTACTTTCAGCGTCGGATGACAAGACGCTCCGGTGCTGGGACCTAAGCCAAGAAGGAAAGTGCGTCCTGACGATCAATGAGGTACACGAGCGCTTCGTCACTTGTTTGAAATGGGCGCCGGGAATTGTCAAGGATGCTCCCGTGCTTGATGGTAGCACTGCTAGTGAAAAAGACTATCCCAACACACAGATCCGTTGCGTTGTCGCTACGGGTGGTGTGGATTCGAAGTTGAGGATATTCGCAAGCTAACGAGGCAAAGGGATCTATAGAACACACCACGCTACCTCTTTGTTCCTCTGTCGCGCTCCTTGCCAACCAGCGTCCTGCGAACTGGACATCTCAGATCACAGAGCATCAAAAAAAGCCTCTTAACCCTTACCCCTGCGCTCACTCCTCACCCTCCTAGCTTCTTACAATAGAACAATCCTTCAGCACCGAGCTACCCTTCATAAGGTCACCTTCCCCCAGGTATCTCAATCATCCCAGTCAACGGCGGCGCACCGCATGCAGGTCGTCGTCGCAAACTTTGGTCACCTTGCCATGGTTGCATCTGCCGTTTGAACAGGGTGAGGTGGTTTTCCCTCTTCCACCGCAAGCCCTGCAGTCGTCACCACCAGGAGTGGTGCCCCGACCGCCACAAGTCGAGCAATTTGGCGCATTTTGCTTGACAGTTCTTCCTGTTCCACTGCAAGTGCCACAAAGCATGGTGACATTCTTCGGGGCATCTTGAGAACCCCCGCAAGTTCTGCAGACCATTTTCGAAAGGCTAGAAATGGTGAGCGGCAGACGCACACAAGGGGAGGAGATGTTATCCAGCTTACCGATAAAGATTTGTTTGTATTTGTCCTTAGGTTTGCGATGTGCTGAAAGCTTGGAAGTTCGTTAAATCCCAAATAGATGTTGTTAGTGCCGTTTGCGGGCTGGATGCTGGTGATTGAAGATTCTACGTCAAGAGCGACTTTTCTCTAGCACTTATACTTGAACTTTGGTTCGGATTCCTGGGAAATGATTATGTTCATCCCGGAGTATTGAGACAGTTTCGAGACAATGGAGACCACAACAGCCGCGCGATACGCCCTCATCTCGAATCAATGTAGAGTCGAACGTCGGGTTAACCGCCCTACGGTGGTCGATACGTTTCGACCGAACCAAATGCTTAGCACGTTTTAAGTATGGACTGGCAAGTCGTACGTAACGTCGGCGGCAAAAAGGCCCACGTCCCAAGCCGACTAGCCTGGAACAGGTGACAAGTTTGGACAAGGACCCCGGAAGCCGAGATGCAACAAGGTTACCATAGGCAATACCGAAAGATGCCATCCTGCAACAGCTGGCAGAGAGTGCCCAGGCCAGTAGAGCACCCCACGAATGCCGGGACTTGTCGAGGATGATCGAGGATTGTTCCAGGCTAGGTCGAAGGGGATCGTTCATTCCGGTCATCGCCCAAAGGCATGGTTTATCAATGGAAAGAAGTCGACGTCCCATTGGAAACAAGGTAATCTCAAGTTGTCAGCGAAGCAACTGCTAAATCGTGTAACATCGGCGCCAAGCAGTGGCTATGCGACATGATTCAGGCAGCCCGAGTCCCTCCAAGCGTCAGGTTCGGCACAATCAATTAAGGGCAAATGAAGGGCCCCATGAATTTCTCATTCACTATGCTCTAATGCCTGATCTATTGCTGGCAAGCACAAATGTTTTGCAGAAAGCGCCCGAGGATAGCTCTCGAGTACTGAGAAATACTTTGAGCATTCTTCAGTGGCGGACCGGGAAATCAGCCCAAGACAGTTTTCGACAGGAATGGTATCTTAACTTCATTGAATGGACCTAACGTTTGCCTGTCTACATTGACCATACCACAATACCATGGTGAAATAAGCTCCTAATTCTCTTGGATCCAAGGACAGACAACCTGCCTTCCAGGCCTCATTTCTTCTTGATCCGCTGCTTCATCGCCGCCGTCCTCCTCTGTAACTCTTTTCGGCCATACCTCTTCCTGAACAGTTGCTCGCATCGTTGCCGCAGCTCTCCACCAGCAAGGCTATCTATGGCAATCAACGACGACTTCCACATGACAACACACTGGATGGAGCCATCCTCCCCTAGATAAACGTCCTCGACCTCTGCCACCCTGCCGCCCACTCCAGCAACACCGCCACCGGGGCGAACGAAGTAAGCCTGTTTTGCGCGGGATGAACGCAATGGCGTACGAGCCCGCTGGGCCTCTACCGCCTCTTGCGCCTCCCTGGCCTCTCTGGCCTTCTGCGTCTCTTTCGTTGCACGGCGAGGCCGTTTTTGAGGGACATCTCCGTCCGAAAAAAGTGTGGGTTGGGTAAATGACCGAGTTCGTTTTCGAGTTCGTGCTCCTTGGGTGATAGCGCCAGGATCAGATCCGATAGCCTCTTCTGCCATCATAAGAGGCGACGATAGTGGATGATGTAGAAAAGCACTGATATTTTCTGTGATCCCACATGTCAGAGTCAGGGACGAGATTCAACAGCGTGGTGACAGAATTTTACCTGAGTGGCAGTTGCCAGCCAATGCGTGAACACCCTGGGACTTAACCTCCGCGGTGTCTGTCTCTTGTCCAACAATTTCCAGTCCGGACTCATTCTCAATTCCTCTCTTCGAAAGGCGGGCAGCATCACCTCCTGCGGATTCTGCAGCCTGCTCAAGGTCCGTGACGCCGTCACCCGCAGCCGCCCATGGCTCTCCCTGGATGACGCCACGTGGAATAGAGCCTGCTGTGGTCTCACTCTCTGGGCAATCAGGTAGAGTCGAACGTGCCGCCTTTTGCTTCGACTTAGGCAAGCCGAACATCTCCTCGTACTCGGCAAAGACGTCGTGGATTCGGCCCACAGACGCCGGTGCATCCGAATCTGTACTGTCACTGCAACTGCGCTCGTTATCACCGCTACCTCTAGCCAGAGCACGGGTGTGGACAGCATCGTCCTTGTGTGATTCGTTGCCTTCTTCTTGCTCGTGGCCCATAGGGTTGTCGGTGTTGTACTTCGCTAAATGGTCTGAAGTGTTCTTTCCGTCATTCGTGCGAGGGTCAGTACTTCCTCTTGATAAATTTGAAGAGGGATGGCTAGGATCTGCCGGATCCGCGATTTCGAAGGTAGGCTTTTCGCCGTCAGGGACGGTGGCGTCGTGGTGTGCGTCAACTGGCTGGTCATCGTCCAGCACAATTGGGTTGTCTAGAATAATACGTCAGCATGCACGGTCTCGGTATACTCCGCGCGATATGGGATCTTCTTGACTCACCTTGGCTAGCACCGAGTTGTACGCTTGTGACAGTCGCGGCGGCGAGATCGGCAATCTCCTCACTGTCACCCTCGCGACCACGCTCTTCGCTCGTCCGGTCGACTGGGGCTGACGATGCGAAGACCTTGCAGCCGAACTCGCCGCTACCTCCAAACTGTGTGTCGTTCCGCGTAAAGATCTCATAGAGAGATGGAAGGTCACTGGCTTCGCTTTCACAGTCAATGTCGTCATCATTTTTGTCGCTGCATGTCGCGCCGCTACTACGGTCTCTAGTAAATCGGATACCGCATTTGTCGGGATCATGACACATCGGCTCCAGAAGTTCTCGCAGCGCCAGACACTCCCGAGGGGTGTCCTGGTGAGAAGCAGTCAAATCCACAAAATCGACGAAATCCGCTTTGCCCACAGACTTTGTCTGATTAGGAGATTTTGAGCTTTGTCTGCTTGACACACAAGTGGAAGACGCAACTGGGGGAGATTTGCCGAAAACATGGTTTTCGAAGGGCGGTGCGTTTGCTCCAGGTTGATATGCGATGAAGGTCGCCATGACTGGAAAGCAATGAAATATGAGCCAAGCGGTCGACAATGGTTCAGAAAGATGTAAAGGAGAATGGATTTGACGGCCGAAGATGAGGGAAGAACTGGTGCCGTACATATAGACGGTCGGCACTGCCCAACGACCACCCGGTTTTGACTTTCCCAGATGGCGTAGTTCCAAGTTTTCACAACTGCCGAGTTGACGGCCTCGTCCGCAAACAGCTCCTCTATTGGTGTTTCCCCGGGGCCCCTTGCGGCGTGAGTAAGGAAGATCATCAAGGCGACAAAGTGGAGCAGGTCATGCCACCGAAACGCGATGAGGGACAAGGGCTCTAGGTATCCTGAGCGCGGCATTGACCATGACGACGGTGGTCCCAGGATGAGGGGTGGGCATGGGGCGCTGGCTCGTCTCCCCGGTCCTGAGGGTTCGAGGATGGGTGAGAACATCTCCGAAGCACCGAGACAACTGCTTCCAGTGATTTTTTTGGGACGATCTTGTAGTCTTCCTCGAAACTGATGGCCAACCTCACAAGCACACGCCCGTCCACCATTGGGATCATCATCTGCGAAGGAGAATCGACGTCCGCGTTCGTCCGAGCGAAATTGTGTCTTGCGAAGCCGGCTTTCCATCCCTGCATCCTGTCGTCACCGGGCCTCGATTTTGGGAATCACCGTACTGCATCCAGCCTAAACGAGACAGCAGCTGAGAATCCACTTGTAACACGCTGACGTGCCCCTGTTGCCGGATGACAATCCTTTCCCCCCGAGCGCTAAGGGCCAAAATGGAGGTCTCGGCCCAGCTCGACGCCGCAAATTCGAGGCGGAGCGTAGGCAGCAATGCATGCACACTGCCGATCGACTCGTGAGGCATTTTTGTGATTGGACGCACCAGGTGCGATACTCAGCTTGCTGTGCCGCCCTGCAGCAAAATATCAGCTGCGCCTTCGCCGTCTGCCACATCATTCTCCACCCGGTTCAAGATGTAGAATCCCGGCACGGACGGCATAGCAAGAGAGCCGTGTCGCGCACCACGACTGAGGTTGTTTTGGTGACGATCCCCCAACTCTTTTGCAAGTCTGGAACAAATGACAGGAAAGCCCATCAAGAGAGTCATGCAGGCGAGGCGGTACAAGGAGACGCATCTTCGCGGATCCCCACAGGATCCTCGGTGGAGGTGTGGATGATGGACGGAATCAGCAGAGCCTGCAGGCTGTGCGGCCGGTGGAGCCAAATGTGTCACGTAGGAGTTGCAGGCTTCGAGGGAGCCGAAACGGGCTGCGTCGAGGGGCGCAAAGGCCGCGACGATCGAGGATTGAGAGGGGGATCGGAGTGCACAGGCAGAGGCGAGGCGGATTTTGGAGCAGCTGGTGGAGAATCGAGGGGGGGCCTGATGCGGCCGAGAAGGATGCAGGCTGTAGCGCGTGATGCACGACGGGTGCGTCAGGAAGATGGAGGTGAAGAAGGAAAACAGGTTGGAAGGAAGAGAGCATTGGGAGGGGAGGGGGAGAGGGTTCTTATAGCCGTCAAAAGCGGCGGCGCACCCAGCCCGCGACCATACCCGAAACGGCCGGACCGCCTAAACCGAAGGCGGATTTCCCGGCAACGACTTTACAAACACAGAAAATCATGGTCCACCACCACTTTGATGAAGATGTACGAGGACATACACAACATGCATGTGCGTACTCATCCTATGTAACATGGAACACTGACTTTTGACATGACTGAGATGAAAAACCTGTTGCTGTGCCTTTATAATCTTTTGGTCACTTTTTAAACCACGTACACGGGTTGATTGATTCCTTGTTTTTTTTTGGCTACATACCTGGGTAAATCTTTCACACGCAGAATCGCCGCGCGTCACAGCTTCCCTCGACCAGATCTCAACTCACCACCTTCATGTTCAATTTGAAACTATTCCAGTACGAAATTACCATGTATTTGTTGATTTTGGTCCCCATGCTTTTGGAAAAGAACTTCCAGAGTTCTGACTCTGCCTCCATCTCCCAACAAAAGAATCCCTGATTAGGTTATTTTTATGTTGCCCATGCCCTCCCAAGTAAAACCAAAAAAAAAACACCCACAATCAGAATATAGCCGATTACCGCCCGTTTTCGTTACATACCCAAAATCGTGTCCTTGTTGTTTGCCGTTTTCAACTCCAATTCTGCCAAACACATTCACACCCACCCGTACCACCGTCGATGCCGCCCGCTTCAGGGTCAAAATCGTCATCGGCGGTCGGATTTCCACCTCCCGCTCCTCCCTCCTCCACCAAGGGAGGTGCAGGGTTGATCAAGTGTCCGCCGACGCCCCTCAGCTCCGGCACAATGCCCTTGACGCCGTCCTGAATGACCTGCAGATCGTCCACGCCATAGCAATACACGGCCTTCTTGTTGATGTTTCCCCCATGCCGGTCGAGACGGATTGTCGTCGGGTAGGGAAACGACCCAGGACGATTGAAGTCGGTGGCCGAAGAGTTTCCAGGCCCCGAGTTGTTGTTCGATGTGGTCGGGCTGAGCAGCGCTCCACCGAACGCAGGGTTCGTCCAAATCCTCACCAAGAATCGAGTCTGACTCAAGGTGCACCGTAAACGCGACTGGTCTCGTGTACATCCGCCATTTTGGTCGGCCGGGTCGATCCCGTCATTGACAGAGAAGCCTGACGTGTTGAGTGCTGCAGTCGAGCGCAAGAAAATCGCCTTGTCGTAGTACATGTAGAAGCCAAAGTGCTCGTCCTGCTGTCCGCGGTTGTACAGTTTGATCGGCTGGGACGTAGGGTACGGTGACGTCGGAAGTAGGTTGGCTGGAGCTGCGCTTCCATCGTCGAGTACGTCCGGTGCAGGGATGATGTTTGAATTGTTACCATCTCGGCTCGAGAGCAGTTTGGAACTTGTGAAAGCGCTCTGGGTCGTATTAAACGGGTCGAGAGGAAACACTGGGAGGAACGTCATAAAAAATGGAGTGTCTTCACCCTGGAAAGGCTCGGTGATGTTGTCGGTCGTATTACCCATGAATATCTGATCTGCTCGACTGGGGGGCGTCGGGTTCGGGTCGAAGAGATCATTCGTGAATGGGTCACTTGCTCGACGGCCAAGGTCTTCTGATCTCTTCCTTAGGTCTTTCACAGGAATCGTCATGTTGGCTGGCACCGTGCCATTTTTGAATGTGATCTCGAAGCGGAAGTTTGGCTGATCTGGATTGTTCGGCGCTATCTCAGCCTGATCTTCTTTCGGCAGTGCGCAGCTCCACATCGTGGTGGGTGCTACACACCGAGGTTGCTCCAGGACGGCGTCGGGCATCGCGATGGTAGAGATACCTGTCGGGATGGGAGGATATCCTGTCAAGTTGAGCCACTGGCTCTGAACAGGAGTGCCGTCCCCATGACGAGTGAGCAAGGTGGCAAGAAGAATGCAGGCTATCACAATCAATAGCAAAGGAACCGCCACAATGAGAGTCCATTTTCGCTTCTTGGACTTTGAGTCTGCCTCGATTTTCTCTCCCTTCTTGAATAAGGATTTGATTTTGGCAAACACCCCGGGTTTCTTTGACACGTCGCTGTTACGGCGCTTGGTCGATGCTGGCTTCTGCGAAGTCGATTCACTCATATCTCGGTTTAGCGTTGCAGGCATGGCATGGACTTCAGGGCTCTTCCTTGCCTCGTACAGAAACGGTGCAGGTGCAGGTGCAGGTACAAATCGCTCTGAATAAGTGGTATGATGGTGTACTGTCACCGATGCTGGTTGTGTTTGATCCCACGTTTGATTCTCGGCCGGTTTTCTCGTTTGCTTTAGCGACCGAATTGCATGTGAGTTTGATGGGTGGCTGATCTCTGACATAGGTACGTCTCCTTGAGATCTCATGGCTTGCTGCGTGGCTGGCGAAATTGGGCCGGGCGACTGCACTGCTGCTTGAATGACTTCACGCGGCATCACTGCTACCGAACTAGGTAATTGGGCAATTTGCCGGGTAGTCCTTTTACTAAGACCGCGTACTTGTGCCGGTGGAGATTGAATGTCATCCTGCATTTCTCTGGCGCTGCTCGATTCGTCCTCGCAGATTGCTTCCATGACCGCAGAAGTGGCAATAGCAGGAGCCCCGATCGCTCTAGCCTTTGTCACAGTACCTGTATTTGCATCTCTTACATTTGGGGAGAGTTCTTCAGGCTCGGATTGTATAGAGGCGAGACTCTTAACCCTGTTTTCCGTAGTCCCATCCAGTTTGGTGCCCTTCAAAGACTTTTCGGCGTCAACTTCGTGGGAAGTAGGGTTGCCTCGCTCTTCGTGCTCGAATATTGAGTGGAGTTGTGGCAGTCTCTTCGTACAAGAATGATTATTGCATTCGAAATAACGGACACCACTTAATTGCTCCACGGCGCACGCATGGTAATATTCTGCAGCAAGTCCCACTTCAGCTCCGGCGAGAGTCTCGAGGGGAAGGTTCCTCTGAGCGTCTAGTGCAGAGGTATTATCTGTTTGTAGTTGTGAGGGATCGACCATTTTGTCGTGATGCTGCTCCTCCACTCCCCGGGACTTGGCCCAAAAGGTCCACCTGGCAGATATGCTTGCTCTAGGACTAGCCAGGCCAAGACGTCTGGGCGTCTCGGGTGATTCTGCGAAAAGAGACGAAACAGAGGAGTGTTTATCAACCTCATTGAGGGTAGAAATTGGCGGCATCGGCGGTCTTTCACTGTCGTTGGCTCGGACCCTCTCCGATATGGTCCCTTTTCTGGACAGCATTGGCGAGAGCATGAGATTCCACCAACCCTGCGATCTATGTCTGGCCTTGTCATCTTCTTTGGGCAGAATATGTTCTTGGCTTCCTGAAGAGGCTCTCCGAACACTCTCGGGGTACCGAGTCCCTTTGTCTTCCTCATATGCAATATCATCTTCGTGATTGGGCTTCGATTCGTAGATTCCTTGGACTACACTAGCTCTTGCGACAGGCATGCGGTCTTTCTTGTGGATCTGGGGTACCACCGGTACTGGAGGTAAAGCTTCTCTTCTTGGATCGTTGAGTCCGGAGTGCACACTATAGATGCTGGAAGAAGGTCGCACTTTGCGCATGAAAGAAGGTTTCCAAGATTCTCCATCTTCGGCTGGGGTAATGACAATTGCTGGGGTCTCTGGAGTTTTTGTCGATATGGTATCATTAGCGACGTTTCTCGACTGGTGAGTATTTGCTTCATTTGAGGGAACGCTTAGTCCAATGACAACAGAGCTTCCATCAGCCGACTGGTCTTTGCTGTGTGCAGAGTCTAGGTCAACTGTGGCCAAAGAATCGTGATGGATGACCGACGTTGCGCTTTTGGCACCATCGGCAACCTTTCTGCGAGTTGTCTGTAAATCTCGCCATTTCGAATATGCAGCACGAGCAGGGTTTCTGTCGTGACCTGAAGTACAGGTTTCCGCGGTGTTCGCAGCCACAGAGTGTTCCAAAACCAAGTTGATTGTTGTTTGATTGACATGTTCGGCTTTTGCAGACACCACAGAAGCGGCGTTTCTTTGTCCAATTCGGGGTCGTTGCGACTGCACTTGATCCACCACAATCCCTTCGTATTGAGATCTCAACAGTGGATTTGAGAAATTTGTAACAATATTCAACCCTGGACGTCGCTTGTTTTCAAGATTCAAAGTCGATGTTCCATGCTTCTTGGCCTTAGTGGGATTTTGCTGTGTCGTAGTGGAGGATGAATGACCCCTTTGGGCATCTTGACTGTATCTTTCTAGGTAGAATTGGTCTGGTCCACTAGAAGAGCTGCTTTCATCGTCAGAAATGCTGGATATGAAAGTTGACGAAGGCGAGGATCGATCATCAGGAGCCCGGTATCCTTTACTTTGTGCTGGGATAGGAGAAGTCGCAATTGAGGGGCTTGACGGTAGTAAGTCATGCAAGGGAGCACGCCGAATTCGATATGTTTGTTGAGCATCAACGGCTTGGGAGGACATTCTAGATGGCTCGAACTTGGTCACCATCACGTTACTGTGGTGCTCACAAGAAATGTTGGAGAAGTTCGAGTTGGATGGCTGGGCCCGGGACTTCAAAGGGGTCCTTCAGGTTAGGTTAGGGTGATTCGATTACTATGTTCATGTAAATGAGGGCATTGCTCGTGTAAGTTGATTCCGGCCGTAGGTGCAGAAACGACTATATGGTGAGAAATTCAACGCCCAAACGCGATGCTGTAAAAATGATTAATTGTTGAGATGCATATTGGAAGTGGTCGTAGTACAATAGGAAAGACAATAGGAAAATAATGCTGATGAATAGAAGTGAGTGACACCTCAGGGAACAAAAAACCACAGCCAAAATGATGAAACAATTTGAGGAGACAAACATCAGCATTTATCAGTCAAATCTTGAAAATCTTACCCACCAACTACGAAGCTGGGTATACTGACTCAAAAATCTCAAAATTGGCTGCCAGAGTCTCATGATAGGCTGATTGAGGCTGTTTGGATCTTTGAAGTCGCTTCCAAGATCCTAATTTCTGGGACAATGCGGAATCCCAAACATAGCAGCCAAGTTGGAAGCTCCATACTGATCCAGTATCATAGTAAGCCTCATTTTCAAGCGCATCAACCTGTTGGCAAGGAGTGAAAGGGACTGGTAGATAGATGAGAAACAAAATGAACGCGCGCTTAAGAATGTTTGATGTTGAGGCTGACCACGACCAATAGAACGCCGGTCACGTGGGTTTGTGAGACAGCCTCGCGCCGTGTTTCACAAGGCTGAAGAAGTGTGTTAGGAGTATTTTCGACCTTTTCAATCAAGTGTCTTGTGCTGGAGCTGATGGCCAGCGCAGATAAGACATTTTGCCCGGATCGAGAAGCCGGTTTTGAACAATAATTATTCATCTTGGATGATACTCGTACTATATATTTCCTCTGCGCAAGCTGACAAAAGACGGGCAGCTATTGTAGTTCATACCCCCGTATCTCTTTCACTGTAGGCGCATGACTCTCTCATGGCGGGACCTCAAAATTCATGACACTCGATCTAGTAATTCACACACAGATCCTCGACCGCGACTCGAAGCTCTGGGAAATAGTAGTAAGGAAATCATCGCAGCCTGGACCTATTTTCACAATTGCACATCAATACATCGCTGCTGAAAGATGATATCGTAATTCGACCGAACCCATTCACATTAACAAATGGTGCCAGAAAATACCATCAGTCACCTTCAGATTGGAAGACCTCCATTTGATTAACATAAGAAAACAACGCCGCATGGCAGCGTCAGATGCACCACACTGGGTAGCGAGCGACCCAAACGATCCCGGAAAATATCATGTCTCTTTAGGTGGTTTGCATAAAACCGAACGAGCTCTTTTTAACATTATCGTCGTTCTTCAGAATATTGTATACCTTGCATAGAATTTGTAGTCATGATTGGCGGTAATGTTCGGTTGGGCTCGCCGGCGCCATCATGGTTGTTGAAATGTGATCCGTAACCGAGGGGACTCTGTGGTATCACGTTCGGCGGGGGAGGGAACGAACTCTGCGGTTGCTGAATGCCTCGCATTTGCTGGCTCATCTCGTGCATTTTCGCTTCCAGCTCTGCGAGCTTTAGTCTTTGAGATTCATAATCAACCCGCGCTTGTTTGTTTTGGGTTTCCAGTTGGGTAATATAATCAATAGCTTGCGAGACATTAGCGAAAGAGTCAAGAAAATTTCAAGGTGAGGATGCTTACCGCGCGATAGTGTTTCCCACTTGCTTGATTTATTGTTCTGGCTGGCAGGCAGCCGAGCCCTGAGTTGCTCAAAGCAATCCTTCATCTCACTTCTGCGCTTTCGCTCCGCAAGCTTGTGTGTGATCCGAAGCTCTGGAGTTCGACTGTACGGCGTATTTCCGTTGGGAGAATCAGGATCACCTCGTAAGCTATCGACTTGTTTGTGTTGAAGGGAATGGTGATGAGCTTCTGGGAGTTCTGATAGATCGGCTGTCAGTATCGGTGAATAGTCATGGGGATTGGTGGATCTACCATGCTGTCCGAGAGGTAGTCGAGACGACTCAACGGTCAGGATACTGCTAGTAAAGGATTCCGCAAAGCTGTTTCTTCTCGAGAAGGTGGAAGGCGCCCGCCCCTGTTGTCTAGGAGCAGCCTCAGGATCAGGAAAGGCATATGCCTGACCCCTAGTCGGAGCTTCTGCGCTGTACACTTCCTGCTTTGGATTTTCCAAAATTGGAGGCGCAACGCGTCCTCCTACGAACCCACTTCGTCCGCCACGACTTGAAGCATAAGGAGCAGCTGGGTTGTTCATAGTGGAATAGCGGCTACCGTTATAGCCATTCTGTTGTATGCCCCGTTCTCTCTGAAGACCAGAGACCAGCGAAGTCTGCGAAGCATTGGTGCTAGTATAGGGCGAAGTTGGCCCTAACCCTAAGTTGTTCATGCCGTGGTGAATGCTATTTGTGACGCTTCCTCGCCTAGATTCATCATAGTCTCCACTGCCACGGTGCTGATTTAAGTCAGAGGATGGCGTGGGAAGGCCATTTGTCTGGTGCGACAAAGCCGAATTGAACGGTGCGGGTGGGGCCGTGGTGTTCTCAGGTGTATATGGTGAAGGTCCCGTAGGAGAATGAGCGGAATTCAGATAAGGCATGGAGTTCGCAGAGTTAACAGAAGAACCTAAATGACATTAGCTCAAATATAAATCCTGTCGCGCAGGGAGAGACCAACGTGTTCCGGGTGTCATCCAACTACCAGAGTCTCTCTGCGGCGGCAGGATTGAAAGGTCTGGCGAAGGTCTGTCGATAGGTTGTACAGGCAGCTTTGAAGTCAAAGAAGCTATCGAAGGTAATGTCTGGGTGGTTTGGGGAATAGAATGAGTAGGATTTGTCTCCCATGGACGGTGGCTTGTGGTCTCCATGTTTGCGAAATTTTTGTTTACTTGTCGCTCGCCAGGCGAATGAGACAAGCTTGGGAAGTCGACTATAGTTGTTATGGATTCACATACGTTCTTTGCAACAGCTGACTAGTCCCTGACCCGTCAATTCGACGAGCCTGGGATCTTGCGAGACAATTGGCTGATGTCTCTGCTGAAATGGTACGCCAGATGATGTGCGGCGAGCGGTGGTTTAGAAGTGCTGACACGGCAGCAAAAATGTGATACAGGCTCTTTCGTGCTGGAGATTTTATGCCCGGAGGCAGAATGCCGACGCTGGTACACCCAGTAGCTGGTCGTGGATGTGACCTGTTAGCGGCAAAGCACAACGATGTACTCTACCTATCCCCTTGACAGGTTTGATCAAATTGTCTGTTGGAGCGCAAAGCGAGCTGCGTCAAAGACAGCTCGACAGAACTCCTCCTCTTGCACGCCGATGGGCTGACTGCGTAGGGCAGGTGCCTCGTGGCAAGGTTCCAGAATCTTGCTTGTTTTACACAGCCGCAAAGCAATTGTTTCAGGAAGTGCGAGCAACTCCTGAAAACGTGGCGCCGAGAGATATCGTGGATCGGGGTCGAGACAATGCGACCGGCCAGGATTGTCGCAGTTTCTTCGAATGATAAGGTCCGTGAGCCGAGTGTCGCACATGCACCAGCGAGAGGGAGAGACACGAGACCCAAGCCTGCGGCGGGAAGTTGCGTCGACGACGATGCGACCGACGCTGCTGCTGAGTGGACGATCGAGGTTCGACGGAGGAGTAAATGGGGTTATTTGCTGAACCGAGCAACGCAGGAGGGCTGTGGTGAGGGTTTCAGACCGCAGATGGTGCGATCGAATCAGGACCGAGACTTGTGAGAAGAGGATATGGTTCGCTTAGATACGTAGGCGATTGCGGGCGCCCTGAAAGAGCGTATAGAGGGGAAGTGAGAAGGAAGAAACAAGAGGTTGCAGTTCAAAGAAGATGCGGTTTGTCGCAGTCGAGTCGAGGTGACAGTGGCAGATGAAAGACCCGTTCAACAGTCTCTCTACTACTCTTTAGCTCCCGTTCTCCAGTTTTTGGCCACTGCTGCATTCGGACAGATAATGCACAGAGCACTTTTCAGAACCTAGGAAGATAAAGTCGATAGCGGAAGACGAGCGAAGGCACAGGGGGGGAGACGCTGCGTAATTTGCCAGGCGCATCTAGTGCCCAGCCGGTGGCTTATTTGGGGTACTCGGCCTCTACTCCGGGTACCAGAAAGCCTCCCAGTGCCCACCCCATTCCCCCCCATTCGAAGCCGGAGACAGTGATCCTGCTCGTCTGTCTCCCTCACATGCAGTGCACCCATTCCCAACACCGCACCCAGAAGCTCAATCAACCACTCAGCCCTCCACCCCCTCTCTTCTGACAAAAATCTCAATTGACAACTCCTATCTGTCGTATCTACATTTGCGATAAACAGATCCTGTATTCATCTGGCTAGTAGGTCACAACAACATTGGGAAATCGTACGACGATCGCGTGAAATCTCGGATTGGCTGCTGCTGGTCCCTCTGCGAGCGGCACCGCATACGACGCTATCGTGGAGCTTCTTTGGCGGAGGTACATACATACGTACTGGTACCAACACCTCAGCACCCACCAGTCGGAGGGGGAAATGAACCCATTGATCACAGATTCGACGTGACATATATACGAGGTGGGCATGCGATCGATGACTGCCCATCTTGTACGATTCAGGCCATTTTGTGACAGCTGCAGCTTGCCTATTGCTGAAGCCTCACTAGCTATCCGAAGTCATGCAACATATGCCGGAAGTCTAGCAAGCATTCAGCCCACGTGCACAAACCTTGATGTTCCCTTCATGACCCCTTGCTGACCCCTTCGCTTCAGGATTGCAGTTGTTTTGTTACGCGGTACGGATATTGACCATCACCACAGGCAGCACGGCATACTGTACCTCGTACCGTCCCCCTCTCACAGATCGGCCCTCGGGCTCGTGGCGACCTCGTGTCACCATTTTCGTCCCTCGGTCGATCATTTCGCCCCTTTGAAAATCCCTTTCGCACGAGCCTATCAACACACGATGTATCCATGTACTAGAACAGAGTACAAGAACACAGGATTCGATGGCAAGAGAATCAAGGTCCGAATAAAAGCGTGAAGCCTGATATTTGAAGACACCTGCCTAGGGACTTTTAGCGGCCACGCTTGGTGGTCTACTGTACGCGTACTACGTACAGTACATGCATGAGGGCAGTCAGGACAGCCATCTCTCCACCTTCAAAACCCCCGTCAGCTTCAGCCCACGCTTATCGGGCTCCCGGGTCAGGGGCCTGTCCACAATAATAAGGCCCTGTGCCTCCCTTAGGCTCGTTCCTTGTTCCTGTCCAAGACTTGCTAGGCACCGCACCATCCCTGCAGGACTTGACAAAGGTCTCCCGCACTATTGATAATGGGCTTCTCACGCCTTCCCTAGGGAAAAGATCCTGCAGGTGCCAATTTTCAATGGTGACGATCCTTACCAGTTCCGAGTGCCAGCCTCCCAATATCAATACCTGAGCAGGAATCCACTCTCGAACGGCAGTCAGCATCAAAATCAACGCACTCAGTCGAGCCTCGATCACGATCCATGGCTGAATATTGGTTTTGGACACATGCGAGGAAGAAGCTGCCACCATCTCGACTATTAAGTTTCTGGCGCACAATAAAAGGTCCATGACTTTGCACCATGTGCTCATGACGTTGCTCGACACGAGCTCCAAGACATTCCTTCCACCTGGTGCGCCACTTCAGCTGAGAACTGGCTTGTGCTTTGCAACCCCCATTTCAGAGGGCGAATCGAAGGGCCCCGAGCCGCTGAGTGCAGGGGTCACGAAAACGTGGCAACGGCAAGCTTGTTTTGCCGCTTTCCAGGGTCGCCTAGGCCTAATTGTTTGTATCCGGTTCGGAGTGCTTGGACGGATCGTCTCCCGCCCAGCCTCGAACACTCTTCAAAGCTGTAGGAGTGACTTGGTTTTCTGCTGATCACAACGTACACACATTCCATTCAAAATAGCGTACTCCGTACAAGTCCAACAGATGCCAACAACAAACTTCATCCTTTGATTGCTCCGAAGGAAATCAATAGGCTCTGTGGGTTCCTCGCGTGGCTTTCAGCCCGCTACGAGGAACGAAGCGACGCGCGCCCTCCACTACTGCAGCCACCAGTCGTCATGATTATTCGGGTCGTTGACTCAAAGCGAGACTTTCCGCCCGATATTGAAATCAAACCTGACAGCTTGACTGCCCAGCCGACCACGGTGAAACTGTCTAAAACCTGACGTTGCCGTTATGCAGAGAATTTGACTGGCTACTGTGTCTCCCGCTTGACCAATCGCTCCTTGATGTGGACATGTCGACTTTGAAAGAAACACAAGTTCCCACACAGCTGAGCCCATGCCTTTGGGCTATACAAGTACTGACTTGTCTGATTTGTATGACAGTGGGAAGATAGTTCCCCGCAGGATCCCGAACCTGTGGAAGAACAGGACACATCACTTTCTCACCGGCCCAGCCGTCTTGTCACCCAATTTAGTCTACGCTGCGGTCCTAAGTTGATTAACGAAACATAGTAGATGAGCCGTTCGGCGACGAACGACCGGCCTAAACATGACGTGCTTCATCGAGGTCGATCTTGTGCAGAGAAAGGTTGGTACCACCGGGTTGGGTGCTCTGATGATCATCACAAGGCATCGTACTACTCTCCTGTCACTCCGAGTACTGTACAGCTTCGAGCGACATCCCATTGACTGCATCAATCAACTACCTTGCTTGGCGCAGCCCCGGGAATGCACGGGTCTTGTCAACTGTGAATCATTCTCCGCCTTGAGAAGATCTTTAACTGTGTCCACAAGAGTGACATCTAGGGGGGTATAACCTATGTCCAACATTTTGCAAGCTTTGCTTTCAGCAAGCTGATACGTGTCTTGATCGAGCTGGAAGCCTGGTTCTTCCTGGGATATTCGGTCTTTTGATGCCCAGAAAGTGGTTTGGCAGAATATGCGCAGCGACCTGATGGTAAAAATGAGAACCAACAACGAATCTCTAGCCTCCAGCACTCTCGACTTGATAAGCCCTAACATCAGCAAAATTTGCGGACTCAGGGTCAGGGACATTAAGACATCGAGCCATTGACCAACTTCTAGATTATTTTGGTTGGCACATTGAGGTGTTCGAGAGATTTGACACCTCCAAGGGAAGACCCAAAATCCCGAGGTGTCTTGACTGAGGCTAGGGGGAAGGCTGACACGTTCAATTTCATACAATTTGTACGTCAAGTCAGCCATGGGTGATGATAAAACGGCGCTTCCAAGGACTAGCAGCCACTGGCGAGGGAGAGTTTTGGTTCCAGTGAAATGTTCCAATCAAGGAACTTATCACCCAATAATTGAACAGTGACCACAATATGGCAGTAATAAGTGCTATGTAGGATTCATAGTTAAGAGAGAAGACTTTTTATATTCGGTTTGCATTAAGTAATAATTCCTGCCTTTGAAAAGAGCCTTGTTTGTATCAAGGTCGATAACGAGGCTGTGTTGTTTATTTTCCCCGCAAACCAAAATGGATAAAGCCTCGTCAGGCAACAAGGGACTTTCAACCATTTCAACAATCTCCACGTCTGCACTTTTGTCGAGAATCAGTTATTGCAAAGCCTTCACTCCCGGATCTTTGGTTGCATTTGAGCCTCAATCAGGCTACGAATAGGCTACGAATATACTAGCTTCGAGTTTAGTGAAACCATGGACAGTCCCAATATCCATAACATTGATGTCTGGATTCACCATGTCTTCTCAATCGCCACGATACCAATACGTTTCCGTACTACTAGATGTGAAGTATGCGATGGGAAACCCACACGCTCTAGGCAGCTTCATTAGGTTCCGCCGATGGCTACAGTGAAGAGGCTGATGTTGTGGCTCCTTAATGACATCGAACTAAGCTCCAGCACAAAAGATGCTCTCAACAGGAGGCAGACTTGAGGTCGCGGAGCAAATCCCATGAGGTATAAGTAAAACATATTTCATCTGCCACACAAGGGTCTCAGGGACATGGACTCTGACCCTTTCATTGCTGCTTGATTCCTTATTCTAGCAACAAAGAGTGTTTGACTCATACCACCATATTCTGTCCTCATTGAAATCAGCTCGCATTGCACTTGAGTGAAGGGGTGTGGCGAGAACATCACCGCTCGCTTTCACCGCAATCGGCGTATCACAACGTCTAGTGCACAAGTTTCCTGGATTGTGTCTTCAACGTCGCTTGTGTAACGGAACAAACGACGCAAACAAAAGTGCAATCATCGCCTATATCTATCATCAGGAACTTCCCATCAGTTGTACCAACTACATCTTTACTCTCCCAAAAGAAGTCATCATGACCAGAAGTGGGAAAACCTCTCGCAGCATCTCGTCCACAGGCGAAGACGACTTCCTCATGGTGACCAATCCGGAACCGGAATCTCAAGCAACCTTCAAACTCCCACTACGTCCAAATCAGACCGGCAATAGTCAGCATGGCATCTCTGTGGAAGTTCAAGCGTTGCAGGAGAGCGAGTACCTCATGGTGTCGATTCAGCCACCTAAACAACCGGAACAAGATCTTGAACGAGCCTCGTGCGACATCGTTTTGGTCATCGACGTCTCCGGCAGCATGAACGAAGCAGCACCTCAACCTGATGTCAAAGATCCGTTTGAGAGCGAGGCTGCAGGTCTCAGTATATTGGATCTCACGAAACACGCAGCGCGGACTGTTCTCCAGACGCTCACAGAAAACGATAGACTTGCGATTGTCACATTCAGCCATAGTGCGACGGTAAGCTGGACATCACTCTGGGTATGTCAAAGGGCCGTCCTAACATTCGGAATATAGATCGTTCAAAACCTCATTCCTATGACCCGCGAGCACAAACGAGAAACTGTGAAGCGCATTACCTCGATCCGCTGTGGAGGCTCTACGAATCTGTGGGCCGGCATTCGGACGGGACTCAACCTCTTTGAGAAGACCAACCATGTCGGCAACTTCCAGGGTCTTTATGTCCTCACTGACGGTATGCCAAACCACATGTGTCCCCAGCAAGGCTACGTGGCCAAACTCGAACCCATCTTGTCGTCTTTGAGCGAAAAGATTCCCACTGTTCCCACAATTCACACCTTCGGATTTGGCTACGGCATTAGGTCAGCTCTCATGCAGTCCATCGCAGAAACTGGCAACGGTAACTACAGCTTCATCCCCGACGTTGGCATGATCGGGACAGTCTTCGTCCACGCGGCAGCCAATCTTTTCACCACCTTTGCGACATCTGCTATCCTCGAAGTCACCATTCCTGACAACACCTCCATCGAGAGCGTTGGTCTTCAGGACTTTGTGATCCCCAAAATCGGCAAACCGTACGCCTTGCGCCTTGGAAACATTCAATACGGCCAGAACCGCGACCTTGTCTTCGCCAAGGGACACGGCGATGGCACCCCTGTCTCCATCACCCTCAAGTACAAGTTGTCAACCGGTGTCGAGTACAGCATCGACTACTCACCTACGACCCTCTCCACTCCTGGAGTTCCTCTACCTATCTCAAACTACCACTTCTTCCGAGCTCGACTGTGCGCTTTTCTTTGCACACTATTCCCGGTCAAGCAAATCGGCGAACACGACTATGTCATTTCACCCGACCAACTAGTGAAGGCCGAGGCGGGCTTGCGTGAGCTCACATCCAGCATTCGCGCCGCCTTGGCCAATTATGGCGATGAAAGTCTTTCATCGATCCTGCAGGACCTCGAGGGCGAGGAGCCGGCGGGCCAAGTGAGCAAAGCCATGAGCCACTCTTCGCGACGACAGTTCTGGGCGAAATGGGGACATCGGTACCTGCCTAGTCTTCTGCACGCGCACCAGCGCCAACTGTGCAACACCTTCAAGGACCCCGGCCCGCTCCTGTACGGCACGACGAGTCCGTTGTTCATCAAGTGCCGCGGTGAACTCGACACTGCGTTCGACAACCTGCCCCCGCCGCATCCCAGCCGCCCGGAGCGCGTGGTTCCGGTGTACGACGAGCGCGGAGCCGTGAGCGGGACGAGGAGCGTGCCACACACCCGTGTCGCCAGCATGCGGAGCTGGAACAACAGCAACACACCGTGCTTCGCCGGCGAGTGCCCCGTCAAATTGGCCAGCTACCAGGGAGGGTTCATACCGGCGCACGATGTGGCGCCGGGCACTGTTGTCTGGACGCCGCTCGGGAGGAGACGCGTGGAGTCTGTCGTCGCCACCGAAGTCGACGGTGTCAACATGTGCAAGGTCGGAGGGGGACAGCTCGAAGTCACAGAGTGGCATCCCATCATGCACGATGGGAAGTGGGTACTTCCACGCGACGTGGCAGAGAGTGTCACACCGTTCACGGGGACCGTGTATTCGTTCTTGCTCCAGTCTGATGACGACCCCAACGCACATGCCGCCGAGGTTGGAGGACTCTTTTGCGTCACACTGGGACATGGCTTGGTGGGAGGAGGCGACAGCGGAGTCGACGACGACGTCAGAACGCATCCATTTTTTGGTGACTGGGCCAAAGTCTCCGAAAATCTGGACAGACTCACGTGGGATCACGACTGGGAGGCGAAAGTGTGCATCGGACTGGAGAGAGACGATGCGACCGGGCTGGTTTGTGGGTTCAAAGGCCTGGATAAACAGCCTGAGAGTCCGGAATGGTAGATACCAATGGACGAGCCATGACGGGGCCTTGAGCCAGAGGTTGGTAGGGTCGATCGGCCTGAGGGAGACAACGGATCTTCTGAGTGACGAGAGTGAGACTTTGCTTTGAGACTTTGTACGGGGTACGCTATCAAAGACAGAGAGGGCATCGAGGCCACACGGGGCTAGAACCTTTTTCATATGTCAGATTGTGTTCTTGTTTTACGACAGCATAAGAATAGAAAACGGAATGATGATTGGTTTTGATTTTCAAAAAGGGGTGAGGCTCGCCATCTCATCTCCGCCTCTGTCAGATCCAAAGAGATATCCTCTTCACTCTGTGCGAGTTATACTCGAGATTGGCTTGGAGCATCGCTCGCATGTGATATATTTTGTACTTTCACTGTACCTTCACCGTACATTGTGCTGGCACCACTCGTTGTTACTGTTCATCTCAGTAGAATTGGACACGCGATTAAGACAAGATACTAACACACACACACACACGCACGCATTGAGGGTGACGTGAGATCAGAATTAATTCCCCCTGATTGTCTCGAAATAAAAGAAAGGCTCAAATCAAGATCATCTCTGAGGGGCAACTTTTTTGTCTCTTGTACAGTGGTAAGTCGTTAATGTTCCGCCATTGGGTGTGTTTGTGCATGTACTGGGATTTCCAGTAATGGCATTTCTTTCATCGGTTACTCTATGTTCTCTTTTCAAACAGCATACATTTGCCTCCTTTTTTTTTGGAAAGAAACATGAATACGACTCGTACAAAGAGATGATTCCCAGATAAAAAGAGAACCAGGGCCAAAACGAGGCTGACGACAACACTAGAGAGATATCCTCAAGGTAGGTAAGGCAGTTGTTGTGTTTGCCGTACGTCGTCCCACCGAGGCCAATCAGCAACCTCCGTCAGGGGTTCGGAAGACTCGAGACTCAGAAAGTTGTCCGCATAGAAAAGATGTGATCCTAGTGTGACAGGTCGAAGACACACATTTCTGGCTACTACATCGGCTTGCATACTCTTTTATATTATAACAGGAGTAAAGGAGGAAGCACCAGGTGTACTTAGGGCGTGCCTGTAACTTAATAACAACAACCTCGAACTCAGAGGTACACCTTGCACGTAGAGACTCTGTCAGCTGCGACGTTCAAAACGTTTCTGTGAACTGCCTGCGCTGCGTGCGCAACAGCGCTATCATTATCGTAAAACTCTTCTTGATTGTGTGTCTGCCTATTTACTTACTACTCCATTCTCTGCAGGAGGAAAAGTCACTCACCCCACGCGTATCTCTCAACCAATCTTAGCATGCTGGAAAAGACTTTCTGTAGCTGTTCTAACACATCCTCTGCAGGTCCCAGTCAGCACTATGTCTGGATTTCGCTTGTCTGCACCCTAAGCGGTGCTATTGTGATGTTGATCGGTGGTCGACTTACGGATATTTTCGGTCGCCGCTGGTTCTTTACTTTGGGAAATGCCTTGTTCGTATCACTCTCTCCGGCCATCAGAGATGGTCATGCTAACCAGAACAGAGGTGCTATAGGTGCTCTTGTGGCTGTTGTAAGTTCAATTGCTATGAGGAGACACAAGAACTCTGCGTGAGGCTGATCAGAAGAAGACTGCTCATTCTATCGATATCCTTCTCGGCGCCAGCGTTCTTATCGGTCTTGCCGCCGGTGTCGGTCATTGCTGGCCGCTAGCTATGGATGAGCTGATCGCGAACAAACACCGAGGCTTATGACCGCAGCCATGTTCGTATGGGTTCTCTCATTTGGTGGCTTCGCACCAGTCGTTGGGCGTTCCTTCGTGGAGCAGACCTCTGTCGGGAGGAGAGGATGCTACTGGCTTGCTCTTGCTATCGAAGCTAGCTCTGCTTTGCTATTCTTCTTTTTCTATCATCCGCCTCCATTCACGCTACTCCACAAGGGTAAAAGGTTGACTTTGAAGTCCTGTATGGATATGCTCGACCTCGGAGGAATCATTCTTGTGACGGCTGGATTTGTCCTTCTTTTGATGGGAATCTCCTGGGGTGGGCAGCAGTAGGTATTCCTAGAACTTCTTGACAGGCTGTGACTCAAGTCTGGCCAGGTCATCGGCTGTATCATTGGAGGCGCTGTATTGATTGCTGCCTTTGCAGCCTATCGTAAGGTTCATCCTTGTTTACCCAATAAATGACTCCCTAAATCTCTGCAGAGCTCTACTTTCCCCAGCCTTACCCTCTACTACCGGCCCACATTTTCAAGAACACCCCTTACCTGATGGTCGTCTTTTCCGGACTATTCATCACGGTCTCCTTCTACCTCAACTCGTTCCTTTGGCCCATAGCAGCTGCCGGCCTATACCCTGGCAGTCTTTTATCTGTTGGCTGGATTACCACCTGCGTTGGCGCCAACATTCTCCTTGGAGGTATCCTGGCAGGGTGCTTTGTCAAAATCCTGTGTCACCACAAATGGGAGATGATAATCTACAACTGTATTGGTGCAGGCTTTTGGGCAGCCATGGCGGGATCAAACCCGGGCAACAAGTCAACAAGCATCGCCGTCGTCGTATTAGCTTCCACTGTGGTGGGCGCAGTGGAATGTATCATTTACACACTGGCCATGCTACTTTGTGATCCAGAGGATCTTAGTCTGTCATTTGGAGTGATGGCGTCTTTCCGAACTCTCCTAGCCTCTGTGGCGACTGCTATCTATGGCAGTGTTCTCACTAACAAGCTAACCATCAACATTCTCAAGTACGTTATCCCTGTGGCTATAGAACAAGGTCTTCCTGCTTCAGAGATTCCTTCACTCATTCAAGGGCTATCAACTGGAAATCCCTCGGCTCTCAAAGGCATCGCACCGAGTATTATAGCCGCGTCATTTACGGCATTCCAGCATGCTTATACGGTTACATTCCGACTCATATATCTATCATGTCTATCGTGAGGACTTCTTGCCATTGTCTTCGCATGTTTCGTTCCCCATATGGAGAATTATTTTACAGACTTTGTCGGCAAGAAGCTCCAGGGAAGGGAAATCGAGGCTCTGATGGAGAAACAATCGAACTTTTCGCATCTTGAAGAAAAGTCACAACAGGTTGAGGAAAGGGTCGAGGACGCGTGAAGCATCTGAGATCTTCCAACAGGTTTTGTCGTGATCCAAAGAAGTATTTCTGTTCCTCTCTGAATCCCACAAGGCCACCTTGCTCGTCTTATGAGCCTTTCATAGTGACTGCAAATGCCTCACCGGCTATAGCAGTCATCAGTGGTACCAGCTAGTAAAATACAAAATTGCACAGATTATTTGCTATGCTTGCTAAGCCACCAGTGGAACTTGTGGTCGTGGCCACATGGCGTGGTGGCTCTACAGAATTCTCGCCGCATAACTTTTCCTCCCCATTGCATGTGTACATGACGTTGAGCCGAAACAGAAACCCCAGCTATCCCGAAAATGCCGGCGACATTCCAGTCCAATCGCGGTCCACGGCTTGAAGGACCTCGTCGAACCACAAGCTCTTCATCAGCCTTTGCTAAATATCCCAGCGCCCCAGTTCATTTTGTCGAGTGCCAGAAGTAAGAAAGACCACTATCCCTTGTCTTACCACATAATACCCGCAACTGTGCGACTCAAATGGCTCCCCCTCTGACAAAGGTTCTTGAAAAGCAGGTGACATGGGAGACTCCCATCGAGCAAATATGGGCCCTGCTATCAAGTTTCGGGGCTCTCAAGGCCTGGATGCCGATCAAATCTTGCACCGTCGACGGCCATGGAATTGGCACCGTACGCACTGTGATGGCCGGAGGGGTTGCAGCGTCCGCCAGCCGCGCGTATGAAACTTTGGAGGTGCTAGATCAAGAACAGCACCTTATCTCTTACAAGGTGGAATTTGAGGGAGGGCAGGTTCCCACCCTCTATGGCAATTGGAAACTCGAAAGTCGGGGCGAGGGCTCAACTACGGTGACATGGTGGATCGACTCCAAGGAGGCCACTGAGGACGCTATCCCAGCAAACGCGGCCACCTTTGAGCCTTTCGTGCTGGAGGCTTTGAGGGGTTTGAAGAAGGCTTTGTCTTGAAGATCGACACACCGATTTCGTCTCGCTGTTTCACTCTCACTCAACAAAAGGGAATCGTCAGCGTGTGTGAGAGAGACTGGCACCACTGCTGCCACAGAAAAACCACCGCGGCGAGGTACAACGGCGCAGATGTATATGAAGAGTACATGCATAGTCGTCTGTCCGGCAAGATATGCTACCGGTCTGATCCCACACCGCTTTCGATCCCTAAGCCTTTCCTATGACCTAATCGCTGCTTTATTTGATAACTCTTTTTTCTTTCGCAAAGCTTCGAGGCCCAACTCTCCGGTTTAGCCTCGCTATCCCTCCATCAAAGGATTTGTTATTGAGGAGTATGTCCAGCTAGAATCACCAATGGTATGTGTGGTCCTTGGTATTCACAGATTTGGAATGCTGCAATAATTGTCTCTAAAGGGGAGGCAGTCTTATCTCAATTCTATCTTTCGACGTATGGGACGATTGAGCCTCTCGATTATGCTCGGAATAGACACTACTCAACTGCCAATTAGTGCCGCATAGCTAGCTTCGTCGTGTAAAATAATAAGTAGGAGGTGACAGACCCTTTTCCGTCAAAGCAATCCAGCAGGCTAGTCATGGAAACGAGAGCGTATCAAGAATGAAGGGTTTGTTTCACGCATCTAGCGTGCCTTCGCATAAATGAGTACACGATACTCCAATTCACCATAGCGATGTTCTATTTTCAGTGTTGGCCCTAGCAGAGAATCTTGCTCCGTTCCCTGTTTTCAGATACCGGCAGGGCTGGCTCCATAGCTCGCTTCTATAACTTGGATGTCGAAGCTCGTTTCCCCTTGAATGCACTTTCCATCACGTACTTCACTCCTTCTTGACTAGTCTTTGGATGGTCGCAAAGGCCGTTGTCGAAGTCCACGATCGTCTGCCACTTGGAAGCCACCATTTCAGGTGTGATGTTGCCGTCTGTAGGGTAGCTATAACCTCGAGTGCGCTGCCACCCGACGGTTGAACAGCTCCTAGAGTCTATCTCGAGCAGGAGCCCTGAGGAGGGCTCGGGTAGTCGGTCCGATGCAAGCAGCAGCACGAGAGAGCTGATATTTGCAGGTGAGATGTGTTGTGAACAGTCTTCCGACATAGATAGCACTGCTTCAGGGTTGACACTGACGCTGTTGACGAGGATGTTGTTCTTGCGGCCTTCAATGGCCAAGGTCTTCGCCATCCCTAGGATGCCGTGTTTCTGTTCCCAGTCAGCAAGTTTCGTGTTGACAGTTGCACAGCTGACACCAATGGGTCGAGTGCCGCGGGTGGTCTGAACGTACTGCTGCACACTGCTCCGAAGCCCCGACGTTGCCGCCCAACACGTTCGACCCGAAAATGCAGACTATCCTTCCGTATTTCTGGCGAGTCATGTAAGGATAAGCTGCTTTGAGCAGCTGAAAGTTCCCTCGTAGCTGATCATGCACGGTGCTTTCCCATTGGAGCTCGGTGAGTTCGCCAAATGGTCTCCGTAATGGATACTCGTCGTTATCTATCAGGATGTCAATCTTGCCGAAAGTTTGCAGGGCAGTCTTGATCAAGATGTCGCTCTTTCCGGGAGGTATTTGGCATCCAATAGCTCTACCGCCATCGTGTTGAATCTCTGCCACGATGCTTCCGGTACCAGTGCTATCATTGATGACGACACAAGCACCAAGGGACGCAAGTTGCTTGCAAATGTGCCGTCCGGTTGGCGTGGATCCAGCCGTCACTATCACAACTCTTCCATCAAACCGAAGGCCGGCAGGGTTCACAGACGGAGAGACCGAGTACGCCGCATCGCTGGATGGCCTTGAGGGGTCGGAGCAGTTGAACCGGTTCCATCTCAACAGAAGCTCGTCCAAGCTGATGGGAGTGTTGTTACTGACCTGCAGGCATTGTGTGCGCTGCCACCGTAGTTTTCCCATGTGACCACCACCAATCTCGAAGATTGAACCGGTCTCCGAGGTTGTGGACCGGTGGACGAGAAAAGCCACAAATGGAGCGACGAGCTCCGGCCTTATGTTCATTAGTTCCTCTGGCGACATGACTGTCTCCGTCATCCTACTTGCAACAACTGGGCAGATTGCATTGCAGAAGATATTCGATCCTTTGCCCTCAACTGCCAGCGCTTTGGTGAGGCCAACAATTGCGAGCTTGGCCGATGCGTAATTGACTTGGCCAACATTACCAAACAGACCGGAAGCAGAGGTAGTATTGATGATTCGTCCGTGGCCCTGTCTAACGAAATACGGCCATGCGGCTTTCGTGCACTTGAATGTCCCTGCGAGATGCACCTTGTAGACGAAGTCAAAATCTCGATCCGTCATATTCTTAAAACTTTTGTCGCGCAGGATGCCGGCATTATTGATGAGGATGTCGATGTGTCCGAAAGTGTCAATAGCTGTCTGTATAATTTTCTCCCCGTCTTCCACGCTGTCGTAGTTCGCGACAGCCTTTCCACCCGCTGCCTCTATTTCATCCCGAACTCGACTGGCAACCTATTTTATTGTAAGTTTCAGATTGCTTGAAAATGTCGTGATGGTGCAACCTTGGCAGCTCTCCCTTTACCATCCACTGAGCCGCCCATATCGTTAACCACGACATTTGCTCCCCTGGCAGCGAAGAATAGTGCGTATGCTCTCCCAAGTCCCCCACCAGCACCGGTGACGACCACGGTTTGGCCATCGAATCGAAAGGTCTCTATCGCCATCACTCACGACGTTTCGTTGAGACTGTAGCAGATGTCGCGAGCCGAGTTCTTTTCCAACATTCTTCTGCTATCAAGATACAGTCTGTAACCAGCGACCACTAACTTACCAGTTGTGGGGCCACGGAATGGTAGGCGTCATTGGCTCGGATACTCAACCGCGGCACTAGGGAATATTCACAGCAGAGATGGCAATTTTCAGCAGCGCGTAGAAACTTCTGCGGTTGGATGGTTTTCCAGGGGACGGTTCTCATGCGCTCGGAATAGCTTTACAAAGTTTGGGTGGTATTTCAGGCCACTCCGAAATTTACATTCCTTTATTGGAGCGACGACCTCGCTAGACATCGTTCAGATGTAGGGAATGAGTCAGGGGTATGGACAAACACGCTAAGGTAACTATTGGCGTAAGATTTGTACGATATGAAGGTGACTACGTAGGACGGTGGCTTGAGCGAGAGACCACTGGTTCCAACTTTGCTCACTGTGCCCCTGGGTATGTAAGGGAGACCCCCGCCTCGGCACCAACGACACTCATTCCGAGTTTAGGACATGTCAGGCTCTCGCCCGAAGCTATCTGCCAAGCGCTAGCTTCGAACTGTACCTTGGGCACGTTATAGGACTGATTATCCCCAAATTTACATTCCTTGAACTCGATCATCCATCTTTTGCACTAGGGTCATCGGAGCACTTCAACCTTGAATATGGCACTAAATCGTCTTAGCCAGCTTCTTCCTCACTTACAACGTAGTGAGACTGGAAGAGATTCATTGTATCCCAACCTTTCTAGCCATGCACATATTGTTTCATATTGACTGGACTTTAGAACGAAAAAAGCACCCGACGATGTCGTAATCACGCTTGCGATTCGTACGCCGCTGACGAAGGCGAGAAGGGGTGGTTTCAAGGATATGAGCCTCGAATCACTCATATACCAGCTCCTGAAACACGTCCTACAAAGGAGCAAGATTGACCCCAGACTGGTCGATGATATTTGTTTGGCAAATGAAAGAACTTGGTCCACCTACAGAGCGAGAACAGGATGCTAACATAGAGAATGCAGGTCGGAGATGGCAAATCCGCGTACAAGATCCGTGCAGCGTCGCTTGCTGCGGGTTTCCCTGCTACCACTACGGCGAGTTCCCTGGATCGCTTTTGCGCGAGTGGCTTAAAAGCAGTTCAGGATGTCGCCAACCAGATCATGGCCGGTGATATCGAGATCGGCCTCGTAGTGGGCGGGGAAAGCATGACCAACAGTCCTCCTCCCCCGGACCCTTTGCCTGAAGAGATCATGGCAAACAAAGACGCAGCAGATTGCGCTCAGCCCATGATTCAAACTTCAGAGAACGTCAGCACAGAATTCAACATCTCCAGACATCACCAAGACCAGTACGCTGCGGAGTCGTTCCGAAGAGCAGAGGTCGCCCAGAAGGCCGGTTGGTTCGACGACGAGATTGTTCCGATTGACGCGACAGTCTTAGACTCGGCAGGCCACCGCACTACTATTGTAATAACACGAGACGAAGGGCCTAGGTACAACACCACAGTCGAGAGCTTGTCGAAGCTCAAGCCCGCAATGCCCCAATTCGGCACGCATACCACGGCTGGAAATGCCAGCCAAACTACAGATGGCGGTAAGTGATTGTACCTGTTGATGGAATATGTTCTCACAGTCGAAGCCGCCGCAATTCTCCTGATGAAACGTTCAAAAGCCCTTGAGCTTGGTCAACCAGTCTTGGGTAAATATTGTGGTGCCGCCGTTGCCGGCGTATCGCCACGTATCATGGGCACCGGTCCTGTGGTTGCCATCCCAAAGTTACTGCAAAGATTCCGGCTATTGCAAGAGGATGTCGATATAATCGAGATCAATGAAGCTTTCGCATCGATGGCCGTATACTGCCAGAGAGCACTTGGCCTGGATCATGAAAAACTGAACCCTCGTGGAGGTGCGATCGCCATCGGTCACCCACTCGGCGCTACGGGGGCAAGACAGATATGCACTATTCTGAGCGAGGCTCGGAGAGTCAGGAAGCAGATTCTCGTGACCTCGATGTGTGTTGGGTCCGGGCAAGGTATGGCTGGCTTGTTTGTAAACGAAAAGCTATAGGGAGGGTCGAGATAATCGGTTGTATAGAACTGTTCCGGCCCCGCAAGATAGAGTTTCTAGTCCGAGCAATACTTCTTTGGATGATAACACTGTGTCTGATGATAGTCGCAGACGTGACACATGCATCACGAAACGTGGTTTGCTAGTGGTAGCCTCTTGTTGTGATTGAGCGCATGAAGCCAGATGTCTTGAGCAGAGAACGAGGTTTTTGCCGGTGCATGATGGGTTTATCGTTAAGCTCTATCGGTATTCCGGTCGGATACGAGAGTTCCTCAGTATTATGGTATACGAGACAGTCTTCACTCTATTTCCAACAAGATGGTCGGATCCGGTACGATTTTCAGCAAGCCACTAGTATTCAGTAAGAGTGGCGTGACCCCATCACAGCTGCCCGAGCATCCAATCCGGTTCTCACGAGCCGCGGGCGGCCGCATATAGGCCTTCCGAGGCTGGCATTGGCTTGCACTGTAATCTTTTTGCATAAGATTTGCCAAACATCTACTATTACGCTCTCAGCATACTCGAACCATCGAACGTCCCAAGTCTACTCTTGTTGATTCGCAGACATGGGTGACATTTCTTCTCCACCGACTGAGCAGGCTAGTGTTGGTCTTGGATCTCTGGTGGCTCAGGCTAGCAGCGTCAACTTCTCATATGCTCACCTGAACCCTGCGGCTTCCAAGACTGGGAAATATGAAATCATGCAGCAGTATCACTCCAAGCCAGAGAAGTTACGTCTGGCATGTGTTGGCGCCGGAGCCTCTGGCTTATGTCTGGCTTATAAAGCTCAAAGAATGCTCGAAGAAGGGTCTTACGAACTTACTTTATTTGACAAGAATCGCGACTTTGGTGGCACGTGGCTTGAGAACACCTATCCCGGCGTGGCCTGTGACGTTCCTGCTCATATTTACACCTACACATTTGAGCCCAACACCGAATGGACGAGCTTCTTTGCAGGTGGGGAGGAGATTCGGCAATACTTCGAAAGATTCGCCAATAAATACCAACTGCACAAGTATATGAAGCTAAACACAAAAGTTATTGAGGCTAGGTTTGAGGAGGAGGATGGTATCTGGCGACTCACGCTCGAGGATCAAGTGTCTAAGAACACCTGGAACGACTGGTGTCACGTTCTAGTTAATGGGACAGGTAATTTCCCAGTCGTTCTGCACGAAGTATTCGGTAGATTGACCATCTCCAGGAATTCTGAACAATTGGAAATGGCCTGACCTAGAGGGCCGAGAAAAATTCAAAGGGCCTGTAATGCACACAGCAAACTGGGACCACAGTGTTGACTTCAAGGATAAAGTCGTCGGTCTCATAGGGACGGGATCAAGCAGCGTTCAAGTGTTACCCAACATTCAACCAATCTGCAAGGAAGTCCAAGTGTACATACGCAGCCCGACCTGGATTAGTCCCCCGATTAGTGAGCTCTTAGGGTCAAGTCAGGAGGCCACCCCGCAAGGACCTCAGCTGTACAGCGAGGAGGAGAAGCGCAGGTTTCGAGAAGATCCGCAGTATCACCTGGAGTACCGCCAAAAGATGGAAGCAGAACTCAACGGCTTTTTTTTCGCTTTCAAGCAGAACTCCCAACAGAACAATCTGTTCCGAAAGGCAATCACAGACTCAATGCTTCGAAGATTAGGTCCAGGTCACGACCAACTAAAGAAACACCTCTTTCCAACATTCTCCCCTGGATGCCGCCGACTAAGCCCGGGTGAGGGCTATCTCGAGGCTCTCGTGCAACCTAACGTTAAGCATATCTACGATGACATCGAACGCATTACCGAAAATGGGTTACTAACTGCTGATGGAGTCGAACACAAAATGGATATTCTAGTATGCGCGACTGGGTTCAAAGTGGCATTTAGACCCGCATTCAAGGTTGTCAATGCACAAGGTGTCAGTATACAGGAAGAATGGGGCGAGGGTGTCAATCTTTACTTTGGCATGTCAGCACCTAGGTAAGTGTCTCTGTTCTCCGCCTAAGTCCTTCGCTTATTCAACTATAGATTTCCCAACTACTTTTCGATTGTCGGTCCCGGCGCAGCCTGGGCCAATGGCGCGCTACTGCCTTCTGTGGAAACAAACATTGAGTATATTCTCAAGGTGATCAAACGCATTTCGACCGAAGGGATAAAGTATCTCTCGGCCAAGCAGGAAGTGGTGGATGACATTTTTGAGCATATGGATGAGATGCACAGAGACACGGTCTGGCAGGAAAAATGCCGCAGCTGGTGGAAAGATGGCAAGATTGAAAACCGCATCTACATCTGGCCAGGATCTGTACGTGTGTTGCGCAATGCCACAGTCCCTACTGACGAGATAACAGGCCATCCACTACTTGAAAACGATTCAGGAACCACGATTCGAAGACTATGAGATTACCTATCGTTACCGAAATCGTTTCGCGTATCTCGGCAGCGGCGTGATCAAGGCAAATCTAACGGGCAGCGTGCAGGGGCTCGCAAGCTATATCAGGAATGGTGATACTCCTTGGACGGTCGAGTAACTCCGTATCAAGCATGAGAAGATGTCGAGCCTGAATGCCAATACCAAAGTCTGTTGCGCAGATGAGATTCCCAAAGATCTAGTGCTGTTACTATCCGGGCATAAACTTGTTCGTAACTTGGCCTGTGAGGTTTACTTCTCCCCAAAGGGTCCCGATGAAGCGGGAGACATGGAGTCTGAGGGCTTGATCACGTGTAGTTCTGTTTTGGGAACCAATAGATAAGCTCAGATAATTTGCAGCCTTTTAGAATAGGCGTTCTTCCGCCATATAGTTCCATAGGTGGAGTACTCGTACTCGTACAATCTCGGCTACGCTTCGCAGGACAAACTGAATTAAACTAGTTCTAAACTCCCCACCTCAGATCCTGGATCAGGGCAACACTAGGCTATTACAGGCTTGGAAGTCGATTTTCCTCGGATCCAAGATGCCGCGGAATGGATGTATCTAGATAAGCTTGTTTATCCACACCCGCATGAACCTCCTCGATCCTGCACCGCTTCAGTGCCTCCGTAATCCGAGGCAGTGGCTTATGAAGCCAGAACCTGTACCAGGCACTTCAAGTGGGACGAGACTGGCCAACTATGTCGGCCGTTGGACCGCAGAAATTAGCTGTCAATCTGGGCGACAGCCGCGGCTAGAACCAGGGCATGGCTAAGTGGCCGGATATACTCGGATATCGACAAGTTATTCAGCAGGCATTCCAGTGCGGCACATGGTCCAGAAGCGACCAGCGCATGTACACCTTCTCCTGATTAAGTCCAATTTGGCTCTGTGCCGGGAAAGCCCGTAGGTCAGTCTCACGCCATCAGATCCTATGGCGCTACCAGGTCCGGGAAATCAAACTCACGCAGACGAGAACACAGAGCCTGCGCGGAAGCGCCAGAGGACGAAACTGCACAGGGCTCAGGCTACCACAAGATGGTGTCACCCAGTACTGGGCTGGGATACGCCAACATCAGGCCACGAAAGACCTCGAAGAGTGCGGCCTCAGACGCAGCAGCAAACACGTCCGACTCGCGGTCAGGGTTTGGAGCATGATGCGGCTGTCGTATCAGAAGGCGACCATCCCATGCATGATCCTGCAATACCCATTGTCGCGTCACGGGAAAGTCCACAGCAGGGAGATGCTGTAGGAGAGACATCCAACTCCGCAGGGATATATGAACGTATTCGAGGCAGCCCTTTTGACTTCGCCGACGACGGGATTTGGCTTTGGGATCAGGATCGACTCTTCATCCACGATCTGCTACAAACTTCCTCCAATGATGATTCAAGTTGGGAAGAGGTCCACGAATGTGGACATCACGAAGTTCATTTGAGACCGTATCAAATCGACCATGATCGTCACATGACTTTTCAACAAGCAACAACCGTGGTTGATGGATCAGCTGGCTCCGTTGACATTGACATTAGCGAAGCGGGTAGTCTCAGACCAGGTCCTGTCACCACGCCTAACATACCCAACGAGACTGTCAGCGACTGGTGGTGGGAGCCTATGAGTCGGCTCGGTTTTGTGATGCCACACTACACTGATGATGAGGACCTTGAACATCTCTTGGGTACTATGGGAAGCAATGGGTGTAAACCGTAGCTTGATAAGGTGGAATTCTGGACTTGGGGTCTTTTGCTGTCAACTGGGAGCAAATAATGAGTCCTACTCCGCTTGCTGATTGATGACCACTGTCTCTGAACAAGCAGACTTGATTAATGAAAGACGAATCAATCTTCTGGAACGAGATTTCTTCCCTTGTATAGTAGTATTCGATATCTTGTCAGTGGTGTTAAATGAGCAATTGAGCCCGAAAGTAAAGATCTGTCTGAGTACAGTTATGTCTTACAGCTTTGGCTGCGCCAAAGCCTTCTGCATCCCAGTGCGATCATTCTGCTCCAACGCAAATACATTCCTCCCGGGGTGGCTCTGGTCTGGTTTCACGTATCCGCGGTTGCCGACATGGTTGTCGACTTTGCTTGACAGGGTATTCAATGTTGCCCTATCCGCGTGATTTGCTACAAATCGATGACCCGTCTTCTCCAGCAGTCCGATGATTATTGCAGTCTCTGGCTCACCTCCACGGCTGAACTCAACCGTGTAAGTCTAGTTTCATGGATTAGCGGTTGTGTCTTCATGAAACCAGAATCAGTCTCTACCTCAATAGTGGCCTTTCCTTCGGGCCTGGAGTCGATGGCTGGGCCACGCACATCAAGCAACTTTGGAAGGGGATTCTCCCGGGGGTACTCCTGACCCATCGCAGGAGGATTTGCCGACAGGACGAGAGCATGCTGATAGGTGACATTGCCACCGTTACCCAGTACTAGTCCTCGAGTTCCTCGCTTGCGCCGCCGCAAGACCCTGACCATCTCGGCCACCCCCTAGATTGGTCAGTCGCGGTTGTGTAAGAAAGGTTTGGGATGGCGACAACGCACATGCATTGAAAAGTTGTTACCAGCTCCGCCGAACGAAGTCATGCTCCCAATCAAAGACAGTGGCTTGGGACCGCCATGAATGGGCAGACCGAGATGAATGGCTGCAAGTTTTGGCACTATTGGGAAACATCTTTGCACTGTCAGCAGACGAGCGCCGTGGTTCCAGTCATGCTTACGAATAGATGTCGAACAGATCAATTTCTTTGGCGTTGGTCCTGGACACTTGCATCACCGCGTCAAGAGTGGCAGAGATGCATGGAGACTCGTAAAAGTTTGGTCGATCCCACACTATGTTTCCACGGATATTAGTTTTCAAGCCTCGACGGAAGCATTTGACACCTACATAGTGACGCATCAGAGGTTCCTGCCCCTCCAAGCATGTATATCCACTTTTGTTTGGCTATTCCAAGATTCTCTGCGTATTCTGTCGAGGTGAGGACAACGGCAGCGGACAAATTCACCGAATTCAATCCATTCATCAGAAGTGGGTCTGATTCTTTCTCAGCGAAGTATTTACTCCTATTTCGAGACACTCACATGGCAACGCAATTAATCTGTTGCGCTGTGTAACTGTTCCAATCTCTTTGCTTGTCCAGGGTTCTTTGCCGTGACTCCAGGCAGTCGCATTTCTCGCCGAGACTTTTGCAAATTCCGCGTAGAGTTGGGCAGACTCTTCGTTGTTCGCCTCCATGGTTTGATTTCGGTGCGCTGCCAATGCAATTTCGTACATTGGATAGATCTGTGTCGGCCGTCCGATTTTATGTGCCTCGCTCAGTCCTGCAACGGCACCACGTTAAAAGTCGGTCCGTCAGCATCCTCACACACATACCAGGCGGATACACCATCGTCTTGGGAGAGATGGCGGGGGCCGTTGAATCGACCTGAGTCGACCCAGCCGGGGGTATTTGACCGATCTTCTCGCATGCTTCGCCTGTATGGGGTCAGACAAATTCGCCCAAATTGCATTGGCCTTACGTGATGCGATTGCTTCACCACCTGTCACGATTGCCACCTGGCATTCTTTGTTTGCAATGCGCCTTGCGGCTTCATCCAGTGCCAGCGTTGGCGCGTTACCTCCAGAGCGATACTCCGCCTTGTGCTTCACTGTCGCCTTGAGATCATTTGCCAGGAGCCCGGGAAGATCTGGATACGACCAAGACCAAGTTTCGACGACATCGATACTGTCGATATCTGCTCGCAACTTCTCCTCGACTGTGGAGAACAATTTTACATCCTTGATAGCTTTGTTGATTGCTTTCAGCATCATGGACCTTGGCTCGATTGCATCTTTGCACTGTTTGGACGGATTCTTGAACTCCCCAATTCCAACAATGATCGGTGTGGCTCTGTCTGACATGATGTGGTTATACCTTGGACCTAAGGGATTTAACGGTATCTGCGGCAGTGACGATGTGTTTCTTGATAATTTGTCGAAAGCATAGCTTTGATGATAAAGCGAAGGTATCCAGAGCGTCAGAAAACCGTAGAGGAGGTGAAGCTTGCGGTTGGGGCTGTTGGCCTGCTAGACCATCGGTGGAGCCCACTGCCTCGGCTCAGGACATTTTCGGTGTCTAGTGCGCGGTGTGTTTGGCAACAAGGCATCACCCGGTGTGGCTGAGAACAATAGTGCGGCAAAACACAACGTGCAGGCTACCGTGGAAGTGGGCGCTGGCGCCGCTGGATAGGCTTCAATACGGACGTGATGGCATGGTGAAACGACGCGCGATAAGGAAGATTCAAGCCTAGGATAACGATCGATCTGAAATATTTTCGAGCCCAGCAGTCAACGGATTGGGCAAAATCGATTTCTTGGACGAGGTCTATGTTGCACAGTCATCCTTTGCCGGCCCAAGAGCGATCCGTGACTCTTCTTTAGGATCTACGATCTAGTATTTGACATGTCGCAAGTGCACTCATAATCTAGCCGCTCTCTGCTGGTTCAAAGCCCTGTGAGACGCCTGCAGGACCTCCGTAGCCTTGAGTATTATTTCGTCTATAATTTCCTCGGCCGACTGGTTCGGGACGTTGATGAGGCCGGAGACAACTCCCATGGGACTATGGAGACCTGTCAGACCATCTTGAAGAAAATATCAGAGCGTAGTAGAACTTACCGGACAGCACTCTGGTCATCCATCTCGTCAGTCCACTTTCCTTCTTCTTCCAAAGTCTCCATGTCATGGTACACGGGAAGGACACCCTTCGCTTGCAGAGCCTCTTTCTCCTGAAGCCTCTGCGTCTCCCACCTTGTGACATAGTCAGTCTTCAAAGAGCGTAAAGGACGCCCGGACCAAATAGTTGACTTGATAGTCGAGTCAATGTTGGCGTTGAGGATGGCATTCTTCAAGTCTAGCGATGCGCCTGACTCCTTCGCGGTTACGAATCTTGTGCCAACCCATACCGCACTTGCTCCGAGCGCTAGAGCAGCGACGAGCCCGCGGCCGTCATAAATTCCCCCGCCAGCCACGAGCAGTACATTTTGCTTAGTCAAAGTCGAGTTATATTTCTTGCAGACGTCTGCGCATGCAGGTATCAAAACACTAAGTCGAACAAAGACTATTAGGAGGGCTTCGGGCACACGGGACGTGGCTGAACCTACCTCGTGGGAACGTCAGCACCGTGTCCGCCACCTTCTCCTCCTTGAGCGATAATGACATCGGCACCAGCCTTGCAAGCTTTCTCGGCATGTTTTGGGTGGCCTGCCATGTTCATATAGATAATGCCATTCTTGTGGAGCCGATCTATGATATGTGGTGGTGGTACGCCGACGGCCGAGACGAATACTTTGCAGCCGGACTCTATGATGACGTCCAGAAGTGCATCAAGCGTTCCTTTTGTATGATCGTACTGTAAACCTAGTCAGCAGCAGGTAGCACAGACCCTTCAGAGTCCTCACATTGGTTTTTCTGGCGTTTCCTCCCACTTGTGGCAACAGCAAATCCACTCCAAACGGCAGTGATGGGTCTTTCAGTTGCGACTAATGATGTGATCAGTCTCGGATACTGGAAATGAAACAAAGCCCTTAGAATAACGGCTTGGCGAGGTATACCTTCAACTCGTTGAAAATGTCTCTCAACATCTTGGGTGTGTAATTGACACCGCCTATGACACCCAGACCACCTACAGGATATCGACCCAGTCAGCTGACCGCGCAATCCTCAAAACCTGGTGCACGAATTTACCAGCATTGCAGACTGCTGCAGCAAGAGCCGGGCCTGACGCCTGGCCCATACCCGCCAGTAGAATCGGGTGTCGGATGCCCAACAGTGACGTTAACGGCGTGGTAATCGACATTGTGTATATTGTAGATCTTTGCAATCAAATTCCAGAAGACTTGGAAAGGCGACAGGCCTAGGTGCCTGGAAAGTGAGAAGTGCCTTTTAGCGATCCCAAAAATACAGTTTTGCCGCGGCCCCGGCAAATGTCCCTCGCCGTTTCACGCCTTGGGTCTGAGTCGCATTGTCGTCTGGGGACCAATCAGGATCCCGCGGGTGTTGCATGCCTTAAGATCTGGCCCCTGTGGAGCCGGCTCCACAGGTCTCTACTTGAGTATTTATCCTCCATGTCACTAAGGACGAGAAAACTTTCCACCAAGAGCACACAAACATCAAACACTAGAGATACAATACAGAGCGCCTGTAACCATGAAAGCCGCGAGATACCATCCAGTATGTACGAGAAACAAATGGGCAGTCAAATGCTCGAACTGAAGCATCACAGGAGACGAACAAGTGCTCGGTCGATGACATACCGATTCCGGATATCACTGATGATGAAATTCTCGTCAAGATGGCTTCCGCCGGCCTCTGCCATTCGGATCTGATGCTCTTTGAAGGCTCACTTCCTGCTACTGAGCCGGTGACAATGGGACACGAGGGGGTTGGTTTCGTTGAAAAGATTGGGAAAAATGTGAAAAAGTTCGGGCCAGGTGACCGGATAGGATTTTTGTACATCAAGGGTGTCTGCTGTGAGTACATCGTCCTGCCTCACGCGAGGTGCCTTTGATTAATAGGCTGCTCTCAGATGAATGCGAAGGTTGCCAAGTACACAACCTTAACTGCCTACGAGGAACACCTAAATTACATGGGGTTCATACCGATGGGTTCTTTGCTGAGTATGCAGCTGTGGACCACCACAATGCAATCATCCTACCGGACAACTTTGTGACCGAAACATCAGCCCCATACTTTTGTGCCGGCATTACTGGTGAGTGACTATTATTCCTCTGACGAGTAATTTCCTCATGTCGCGTAGCATTTCATGCTGTGGATCAGTGTGAGTTGAAGCCGGGTCAGTGGATGGCTATTGTCGGCTGTGGAGGACTCGGGCAAATGGGCATTCAGATTGCGAAGGCCATGGGACTCAAAGTTATTGGAATCGACATCAACGACGACGTCTTGAAAGCGGCATCGGAGGCCGGAGCAGACTTTGTCGTCAACAGCAAGGCTGAGGATTACGTTGAAAAGGTTAAACAAATCAGCGAGGGTGGCGCCCATGCGGCCGTCGTTTTCAGTGCTGCTTACGCAGCATTCGGAAGCTCGATCAAGATTCTGCGCATCGCAGGCCTCCTCATGATTATAGGGCTGCCCGCGAAACCGCTCGAGTTTGCAGCATTTGATCTAATGAGGAATCTGTACCGTGTGAGTAGCACGGCAACTGGTCCACCGCAAAAAATGCCTCGCGCTGTCGAATTCATCTCAAAGCACAACATCAAAACAAAGGTTGCAACATATAAATTGGAACAAATCCAAGAAATGATTGACTTGATGCATTCGGGGAAGTCGACCTCGAGAATGGCAGTCGTGTTTTGAGGTGCAGAGTTAGGAAGCAGAGAATTCCGTAGCAAGTACTAGATAGACATACGTACGCCATAAGGAGTCCTTGTCGAACGGAGAATCTCGTAACATTACATGCACTACGAGGGCGACTTCCAATGGAATCTGAATGAGGAATTACTCTTGACGATGAATTGAAACTTGTCTATACTGTCTTACCAATCAGGTTACCCCCAAGGCTCTTCATAGCCTGACCATGGGCATCATTTTTGCCGCTTAAAGTCAATACCTTCCTGGCGCGGGCCTTGCTCAGGAAAGGGCTGTCGTCACCTTCACGAACGTACCATGCCCAGTCGGCGCTGAAGTCAAGCTCTACCTGGCTTCGTCCGTTGCCGAGATAATTGAAACGATTACCGGCGTATTTAATGTCCCAATCATCATGACGAATATGCGATACGCACTCGATGTAATGGAGCACACTCCCCGGCCACAAAGCTGTTATTCTTCCAGACTGGCTGCCTCCCCTGTACCAGGAGCGGCAATCCTCGGTCCAAACAGTGCCTTTCATCCATTCGTCACTAAAATCCGTGAAATCATCGATAGCAGCCTGCTTTGGGCTGAATGAATGAATGTTCTCGGTCTGCCATCGGTCACAGAATTTGAGCATGTAGTCTGCTTGATACTCTATGATGAGCTGTCAGTATGTATTAACCCAATTCCCCTGGATAGTATTTACCGATGGCTGAAAGAAGTGGTCCATTCCCAACAGGGCAATTAGGGCCTAAGAATTGAAAATAGTTGGGCATGTTGCTCGCAGCAAGGCCAAGATAGCCCTTAGGCTCCGAGGACCACTGCTCTCTCAGATCAATCTTATTTAATCCCACAACCGGAAAACGAGGTTTGAACGACGTGTCGAATCCGGTTGCGCAGATAAGGATGTCGACGGGATATTCATTGCCGTCATCGCAGATACAGCCCTTTTCAGTAATCTCATTGATCTCTCCGTACACAACGGTAACGTTTGGCGCACTGAGCGTTTCCAGGTAGTTGACCCCTGGCGTTAATCTGCGACAACCGACACCCCAGTTCGGAATGAGCTGAGCTGCTAGCTTATCGTTTTGCAATTTCTCCTTCATTTGTTGTGTCATTACCGCACGGGTTTCTTTCTGGGCCTGCCCGTCCTTTGCGAAAATGTTTGTAATCGTATCCAAGGCCATTTCATTTTGTTTTCGAAGGCTGAGGAGGGCTCCAGGAACATCTGCGAATTCCTGGAGCTCCTTTGAGTTGTAGACGTGTTGTTCAAGACCCTGAACTGGAGAGACCCAGGTCGGCTCACGGATGAACGTTGTAAGGTGTCCTACTAGTGGCTGGATACTTGGTAATATCTGGATCCCAGATGAACTGCCTTACAGTCAGAATCTGCTTGATATAACACTCAGCTTTTGACTCACCCGTTACCGATTAAGCCAACATGCTTGCCTTTCATTTGCACTGAATGGTCCCAGTTGGCGCTGTGCAACAATTTCCCTTTGTATCTATCGATTCCTGGTATAGCAGGCCATCTCCAGGCATTCAAGATTCCGGAAGCATTGATCAGAATATCACAAGTAGTCCAAAAGGTACTTTTGGCGACCTTGTCCTCCACCTGAACGTTCCATTTTCCTACTTTATCGTCCCAATATGCACCCACGACTTGATGGTTGAGCTTGACGAACTTATCAAGATCGTATTTAGCCGCAAAGTCTTGAAAGTACTTCTTGATCTCGGCGCTACCCGCATACACCGCGGACCAGTCAAGCTTTGGCTCCCATGAAAACGTATAATTGTGAGCAGGAACATCACAAGCACATCTATATTTTGTTATTTAGCCCGGCCCTTGCATCAATCACAACTCAGTCTTACCCAGGATACGTGTTCTCATGCCACGTGCCCGACGTTGCGGGGTTCTTCTCATATATCTGCAGATCGAAGTTCTCAAACGATCGTTGGAGTTTGTAGGCAAAGCATAGTCCAGAAGCCCCGGCACCTACGCACACCACACGCAAGTGCCGCTCTTCATGAATAGGACGGCTGAGTCTCCATTCTGGTAGGTGTTGATGATCGGGTCTGGTTAGATGATCTCGCAAAAGCGTAGTTCTCTGTAGGGTCGACATGGGTGTAGATGGTGATGTCGGATTGTTGGGATATTGGGATGTTGCGTTGTTACTCAGGTCTGGCTGAATCGGACTTCTAAAGTACAGTCTTACTCTATATTGAGCATCGTAGGCCACTTGGCACATGACAGTCACTGTTCATAATACACAGAAGCCAGGATCGGCAGGCGGTACTGCGTCTCCGCAAATGCCGTTTCGGCTTCAGTTTCGAGTTGATCCTCTTCCTGGCTTGATGAGCATACCGGACGACTTCCTCGGTTTGCAGACTCAGACGTAGTAAGGTGGGGAGGCACGTGCAAGTAGTGGATCGCCTCCAGAAGGCTGGACCGCGGATGAGTATAGCACCATGACAAGGTCCACCTATACCGCGCGCAAGAAAACTGGGCCGGCCGAAAAGCCCCAGCTAATTGTGCTGTATACCCATGTCTAATCAATCCGAGCCTTTGCTCTTGGTAACTCGGTCTAAATTAATCCGTGAAGAATCCGATTTGCCGACGAGCACTTGTTCTCGATGCGATAATATTGCAGCACAAATACAACGCGGCATTCCTCTCAGCCTCATTGCTCCTATTGACGCAAAACTTCCACGAGGCTTTAAAACAGTACTTGCCACTCAATCAGCAAGCATGAACGGTGAAATCAAAGGCCCGACTCTGCCAGAGCACCTTGATATCTTCTACGGTGGCTCTTGGCACAAGCCACAGGATGGCAGATACGATGACACGTTCAGCCCTGCCAACGGCAAGCCCGTGACCAAGGTTGCAGTTGCTGGAGCCAAGGACGTCGACGCTGCTGTGAGCGTGGCTCATGAAGCATTCCTGTCCTGGAAGACGGTTCCCGGGACCGAGAGAGCACGGCTGCTACGAAAGGCCGCGGACGTACTGCGTGCAAACGCCGTCGAACTAGCTCGTCTGGACTCTTGGAACACTGGTAACCCACTATCAAAGATGCTTAGAGACGCCGAGATCGCAGCCATTCAACTCGACTTTTTCGCTGGCCTCATTCCAATGATAAGGGGAGAAACTATTCCACAAGACGAGACAGACACCTTTCACTATACCGTTCGAGAGCCTCTAGGTGTTGTTGCTCGCATTATAGCGTATAATCACCCGGTTCAATTTGCAGGTGCAAAAATCGCAGCGCCGCTAGCTGCTGGTAACACGGTCATCATCAAGACACCCGATCAAGCGCCACTAGCCTGTCTACGTATGGCGGAGCTACTCACCGATGTCTTTCCACCAGGTGTTATTAACGTCCTTCCAGGCAAGGCTGAATGCGGGAAAGCCCTGTCCGCTCATCCACTCGTCAAAATGGTCACACTGATCGGTAGCGCAGCCACGGGAAAGTTGATTCAGCAGTCAGTTGCCGGAGCGTTAAAGCCGACAATCCTCCAGTTGGGCGGCAAGAACCCGTTGATCGCGTTTCCTGACGCCGATATCGAAAAACTCGCTGCGGGAGTTGTGCGAGGGATGAACTTCACCTGGGCTGGACAATCGTGTATCTCTACTTCTCGCGTATTTCTACACGAGTCTCATCACGATGTAGTGTTGGAGAAAGTCAAGGCAATCCTTGAGAGAGACTATCGACCAGGTGTTCCATTTGAACCGAGCACCACTATGGGCCCCGTGATTAGTAAGGAGCACCATGCGCGCGTTTTGGGCTATATCGACTCGGCAAAGAAAGAAGGTGCGCGCTGTGTGACGGGCGGTAAAGTCCCGGTCCTCGACAAGTCTATGCAAGGAGGCTATTGGATCGAACCTACAGTATTTGCCGATGTGAAGCCAGACTTCCGTATTGCCAGAGAAGAGATCTTTGGACCAGTGGTTTCTGTGTTCAAGTGGTCAGATGAGAAGGAGATGATGAGGTTAGTAAATGATACGCCGTATGGCCTTAGTGCATCTGTGTGGACAAAGGACTTAGTGAGAGCTACGAAGATTGTTCGGCAGATCAACGCTGGATGGATCTGGGTGAACCAAACGTCCAAGCACTTCTTCGGTGTCCCCTTTGGAGGTCTTAAGGACTCTGGCTACGGTAAAGAGGGGTGTTTGGAAGAATTACTCGCCCATACGGAGATCAAGGCCATCAATGTTCTGTTAGGGGATACATATTAGAATTAATTCTACTAGACTACCATGATAGTACTCAATCAACGGCTTCTATCTTGAAAATTTCAAGACGGACACACATGTACGTGTAGCAGGGCTCCTTCCCGTAATGATGTGCGCTACCTCTACGACCTTGATTCAGCTGCCTTGATCACGTACAAGTGTAATATCTATCATTCTGGCGAATAGCTGACAATTCTAGCACTTTCGGATGGTTGGTTTGCGTGTGCTGAATGACTTACCGTGTTTTCAGGAGACTAGAGGAGCCTAAGAATCAACAATCATAGTCGCACGAATGAGTGTACTCGCATACGGGAATCGCAAGATATCGCATACGTGTCCAAAACAGGGCAATGATCGCACTCTGAACAATTAGGAGATATCGGTGGGGTTAAAAAAGGTATCGAACAACACTCAGTGAGCCCTCTCCGTTCGTTGCATTGTCGAGAGCCCAATACCAACGGACACTTTCCAGTTGCCTCATTGTGAGAATCTGGGTCCTAGGCTTCCATGGCTTTCGCCAATGCAACAGACGCTCCCTCCATCAACGCGTCTTTGGCATCGAGCCAGGGCCTTCCATTTTTCCAGTATCCATCTACAATAGGAGCCCTCCCAGGCTTTGACTTTCTCGGTAGCTCATTCAGCCAATCCCAATGGCACCTTGACTTCCAACCCAATTGTTTCCAATTGTTCATTGTCTCTTCGGGCGACTGGTTCAAGGTGGGAAGATAACGCAGAAGTGCGCCATCGTGTGAAAGGCAGACGAGTACGGAATCAGAAGCGTCAAATGCCTTGAGTGTGTCCACTGATTGTTGACTGGTTGCGGGGTCTATGTATGACGAGACCGGGCCAGTTGAAACGTTGTAGAATGGTGTTTGCTGCCGATCACCCTTGTCTAGCCCGTGATTTATCAGCGGGTGGTGGTCGGTGAAGACAGAGCAGGGGCATGGCACTGGGAAATTGGCAAGGTCGTCGTCTAGAACACCCTCCGGAAGGATTGCCGGCAGCGGAATCTTGGGATGTGGTCGTAGATCACCCGCGAAGTGGGCGATGTCTCCCCCCATCAATATGAATGTGCTGTCAGGGCCACCGGTAGTCCGTGCGAGGCCGCACATGTGTCCAATACAGTGCCCTGGAGTGTCTATCAAACGATTGTCAGCTCTCAGATCGCTAACATGGAGATAGAGCTGTTCAAGCACTGCGGACGTACCAAGAAGATAAAATGAGCCGTCGCCGAAGAAATCGTGTGCTCTGTACCCTCCTATGATGAAATCATCTTCTTTGTCGAAATCGATCTGCGTCAGTGCCCTACCAGCAAAATACTCTGCTGCTAGGTACCCGTCAGGATTCTGCGGAAACCCAGGAAGCAGATTCGGTGTCTCTTTCAACCCCGGCCCAACGACAATGCCCGTGGATCTTGGGAACAGTGATACATTGCCCGTATGATCCCAGTGGTAGTGTGACCATACAATTGAGTCTGCACAATGATTTTGCATTAGTGTAAGGAATTTTCGGGATGATATTGCGAGACTGAGAAATGCATACCAATCGACGACAAGTCGATTCCGATTTCCTCGAGGATTTCCGCCACGTCTTTATCTACGCGCAAGCTTGGTATCATACGGGCTAGGCGTTGCTGGAGAAATGGTGGCAAGTTCCAAAAGTCCTTCCGAATACCAAGATCAAACAGGATCTTCCTCCCGGAGCTTTCATGCTCGACCAGAAAAGCTATGTCGGTCACATTCAGGAACTCATGACCGGCAGGAACTGGTTCAATCAGAGTTTCCGATCGTACCATCATAACCGCTGTCGTATCAATCATACGCACTTTAGTCGTGCTATCAGAGACTGGGAATTGAATACTTTTGTGCTCCATGGTCCTCGATTGCTGTGTACGCGGCCTGCTTTAGCAACCGATCGGGATGAAGAGGGGGGTGGCATGGTTTTGTACGAGGCACAATACAAATGCCGGGTGAAAACCCCCACTTATTTTCAACGATTCGGCAGAAAGACCGCTTCATTGCGGGCGAAGCGAGTTTCCAAGAGAAGAATTACCGCAAGACCGCGAACCGTACCTGTTATAGGCGGTTCTGTTCTTTGGCCTAGTGGTGCCTGAGCTTACGAGTAATAGATATACAGTTTTCCATTCTAGACACTACCAAGTGTTACCCAGTCACCAGCTTGACTAGAACCATGGAGTACTGTTCTATACCCCCGTGATCGTGTCTCACCGCTTCCATGCTCTGTCCGCATCTAAGGCTTTCTGTACATCGACTATTGCTTGGTCCTTTTTGCTGGGGAAAGTGTGGGCTCCTGGGCCTGGGTCATTCAGCAATTTCACCTCCCTCCATTGGTTGCAATGGGTAACCTCGAGAATAGTACCGGCTGGGAAACCAGACTCCGAGAAAGCTACACCAAGAAGACCCTGAGCAACCTCATCTGGATGTGCCAGCTTGTCCTTTTCCGGATCAATAAAGCTAAGTGCTTTCGGGTCATCGGTGAATAGAGGTGACCTAGTTGGCCCTGGAGCTACTGCAGTGACCCTAATGTTGGCCATCTTGTCCAGGCCAGCCATGGCTCGCACGAAACAGCTAATTCCGTGCTTTGACGCTCCGTACAGGGGCGTCAAAAGGCTGGCTTTCTGCGCTGCGACGCTCGAGATGAGCACAAGGTTACCGGACTGATTTGCCGCGACCCATCGCCTAATGGCAATGCGCGAGATTCGAATAGGATGTTCCAGGTTCACTCGCAGGACCAAATATGACTTGTCTTCACGTTCATTCCAGAAATTTGGGGCGGACTGGTCGTGGGTCAGTGTTTGGGTGAAGAAAAATCCGTTCGGCATTAACTCACAGGCTCATAGACGCCGGCACCTGGACAAATGAGGTATGGTAGTCCTCCAAATTCCTTTTCATAGACGTCAAAGACACCCTCGAGCTGGTCCCAGTCCGTCACGTCGATCTTGGTGAAGGCGACACGCGGTGCAGGGCCATCTCCATTCCGGGTCCCGCTTTGAGCACTGGCTTGATTGAGATTATCCATCCACTCTTGCGCAGCCTTGTGCAGGCGAAGGTCCGCAATCAGTACATTTGCCCCTGCTGCGTGCAGCTTCTTGACAAAGGCATTACAAATACCTATATCCGACCGGTCAGCGTCAATGTCAATGTGTTGTGGCAGCAACGCTACCTACCCGAGCCGCCCCCTGTGACAATAGCACCCTTGCCCCTCAAATCTGGATATTTAGGCGCTGATGGCGTTGACATTTTGATAGGGGCTGCTTCGGCTTTAAAAAGTTGATCTCAAGATCTGATTGGTCAGCTGCGCGAACGTGTTGTCTGTCCTCCGTCACCTTTCGAGGATTTGGAAACGAGTTCGCTCCATTTACGTTTCGAGCGGAAAATCGCTTGTTCATGTATACGAGTGTCCCGGTATAGGCAGCAGCGCGTTGAGTGTTTGGTAGCCTGCGGTCCAAGGCTATGCATGAGCCGCGGAAACATACCTCAGCGGGCTAGCCCGTTTCAGCTGATTGTACCCACAGGTTAACGCCTAAAGACCCACCATTGTTTCCTCGGTTCGGTCTGAAGTACGCGAGCATGAGGCGGCCGTCAATCATGATATAGACAGAGTAGTTTTGGGTCAGACGACGCAATTAATTGATGCAATGGCCGCCGTGAAGCATCTGAGCTCATTGAGTAATAGAGTCGCAATCGTGACCGGCGGCAGTTCAGGATTAGGACGAGCCGTTGTACAGGCATTCGCCGCCGCTGGAGCTCATGTTGTCTCTGCAGACCTCTCACCTAAGCCCCCTGTCACACCGATCCTTGAGAAGAGATACAAAGAAACAGACTTCCACACCCCAACAGTGGAACTCGCCAATACGAATTGGCCCAGCAACATCGACGGCCGACCACGGGCAATTTTCCAGAAGTGCGATGTTACAAAAGAGGCAGACGTAGAGGCAACGGTTCAACAGGCAGTGAAGTCCTACGGGCGACTTGACATACTGGTTAATAATGCAGGCACGTACTCAATTGCGATTTTCCATGGTCCCCTAGTCCATGGCCGTGGCTGGTGCGAGGCGAAGTCGAAACGTAATCTCTAACATTGCTGTACAGGAATAGCTCCAGAACTTACGACAGGCCCCGTGCGCATTCACGATCAAGAGGTCTCCGTTTTGGACAGAGTACTGTCCGTCAACGCTAGGGGCACTTGGTTGGGGGTGAAGCACTCAGTCAAACAAATGCTGTCACAGCAACCTGACGTCAATGGCATTCGCGGTCGGATTGTGAATGTGGGAAGCATCTTGAGTCGAGTCGGTGCCGTAGGGTCAACCTGTTACTGCTCGTCCAAGGGTTCAATAACACAGTTGACAAGGGCCGCCGCACTGGAGTATGCGCGAGATGGTATTCCCATAAATTCGGTTTTACCTGGATACATGGAGTCGAATATGGTTGAGGGCTTGTACAGAGACAATGGGGAGGATGCCATCACAACGTTGATTGGGGAAATGTGCCCAGTAGGCAGGGTCGGAAGAGCAGAAGAGGTGGCTCAGGCAGTCGTGTATCTGTCGGGAGATCAGGCAAGCTACATGACCGGAGTCGAACTTCCAGTCGACGGCGGGTTTTTGATACGGTAAAAGTAGCTCTACATAGTATGCAAAAAGGGTTGAATGGAATTGAAACCCTGTCTCAGACCCCGGAATTTGAGACTGACGTAATCACATGGCTCCGTATCTTCGCTGGTTATGTTCATTATGTCCGCGGCTGTCAGTCTGGCGGGCCGCTTCACCAATCCCGTGCCGAGTTGTGTCCTTGGTGCTGGGGTATAAGGAGTCGGAGACATCGCCATCGCGAGTGAATATCAAGACCACAGAACGATTACTTTTGATTGTAAACCGCGACTCTACATCAACATGCCTCTTACACAAACGGCGATCGTAACCGGTGCTGGTCAAGGGTTAGGGGCTGCGTTGGCCCGAAAGCTTGCCTCTCGCGGAATCAACGTCCTCGTTGCAGATCTCAACGAGACTACAGGCCCTCAAGTGGCACAGGAACTCAAGGGTCAATTTGGCGTGGATGCTTTTTTTGTCAGGACTGATGTCAGCAATGAAGACGATGTTAAAGCGATGGTCAAGGCGGCCGTCGATCGCTGGGGCAGGCTCGATTACGCATGCAACAATGCAGCTATTGGAGAGGTCATCACTTTCACGGAGAAAGATTACAGTGTACAGAACTTCGACAGGTGAGTCTGATGTAGAAGATCGTGAGCCAACAATTCTGACAGGCTGGTACAGGATGTACAGCGTTCTTCCTCGGGCCGCATGGCTCTGCCAGAAGTACGAATGCGAACAAATGCTGAAACAACCTCCCAGACAGGTGCAGCTCGGACCATCTTCCAAGACTGTACCATCACGAGGTTCGGTGGTGAACATTGCATCCGTTGCCGGACTGGTAGGCATGGGCCAACCTGGATACGCTGCCGCCAAAGCCGCAGTCCAATCGGTGACTCGCACTGGGAGTCAGTTCTATGGCTCTTCTCATATTCGGATCAACACTGTTTCGCCGGGTGCAATCATGAGTGATGGGTTTCACAAATGGCTTCCCACTCTTGAGGTTCGAGCGAAAGAATTTGTAGAGAACAACATCATCTCCGGGCCCCCAGCGAAAAGAATGGGTCAGCCAGAAGAGCTCGCGGCGACAGTAAGTTGGCTGCTGAGTGATGAGAGCACGTTCATGCACGCTTCGAATGTGATTTGTGACGGAGGGTACTACAACACTCGCTACGCTGCCGAGCCCGCGCCAGAGGGAAATCTGGTAGGAATCTGATCTAGAAACTTTGGACGTACTGAGATAGCCTCTTGACAGTCAAACCTTCTCGGGCTTCAATGAAGAGCAAATGGCGCTTGCTTCTATTGTGGCCTCGGACATTGTTCGTTAAGTGGAACCATAGATCATAACCGGCATGATCGGCACAGGCTTGAGGCCGGTAAGCGTGCTCATCTCTGTACAGGAGACGTGTATCGATTAAAATTTAGGTTTCTTGAACCGGCTACGTGGAAGGGATGCATCTGGAGCGACTCCGTTGTGGCGAGTGTTCTGATGGAAAAATGCATGTGTCCTAGCAGCATACCGAGATGGGGATCCACCGCCGTGGCACTCCGCGGTAGTGTCAATAGACTCCACAGCTTCGGGCTGTCCAGAATCCTCGGAATGTTTAATTAGGTGGGCACCGGGCACGAAATATTTCCAGAAGCGCACGAGTGCTTTACAGGGTCGAGTTCATCTGGCCGCGACCTCAATATCGACTAGAAAGATAACGAGAGCAAGCATCCACCATGGTGAAAACGAAATTTCAGACCCAGCCACCCACTGATCGTCACTACACACTGAGCTATCCTCACGAATCAATTGTTCTTGTCGTCCTCAACAACCCCAAAGGGCTCAACTCGATAACGAGTCACGGGAATTGGGCTTTCGATGCCCTTTGGCAATGGTACGACAATGAGCCCTCGCTCATCTGTGCCGTCATTACTGGCGCTGGGAGAGCATTTTGCGCCGGGGCAGATCTCAAAGAGTGGAACCAAACGAATGACGAAGGCAATGTGCTCAGACATATGCCCCCCAGCGGGTTTGGCGGTATCAGCCGTCGCAGTGGAAAGAAGCCTATTATAGGCGCTATCAACGGTCTGGCATACGGCGGTGGAATGGAGATGGTTGCCAGTATGGATTTGGTGGTCGCAAGCAAGAATGCAAAGTTTTGTTTGTCGGAAGTCAAAAGAGGTGTCGCGGCCGTTGGGGGGTTCTTGCCGAGACTCGTCAGAACAATTGGCAGAGTGAGAGCAATGGATATGGGCCTGACCGGTCGAACAGTGTCTGCGCAGGAGGCACTATCCTGGGGTTTCATCAATGAGGTCTCCGAAGATGCACCCGCTGACTCAGAAGTGATGGACAGGCCGGTAGTCCAGAAGGCGCTACAGTGGGCGAAGAACGTGGCCATAAATAGCCCTGATGCAGTTATTGTTACCAGAGCCGGCATCACCTCTGGCTGGGAGGATGGATCTGCAGAGCATGCAACTGCTCAGGTCTTGGATGTCTGGCAGCGAAGGCTTCTCAATGGCGAGAATCTCAAGGAGGGGGTCAAGGCATTCGTTGAGAAGAGAGCACCGAAATTCAGTGGCTGTAAGTTGTAAAATGTCGCTGAGCAAATGAGAAAAGGAGAGAATCGACATCACCTCCCTGCTTGAGGCTGGTCGATGAGGCGCAATTCGTTTTCATCGCCTGTAATACGCATTACTGGATCGAAGAGGAGCTCAATAAAGGATGCTACTCTTCAGCAACACGATAGAGGCTCACACGGTCAATGTGAAATTCAGACACGGCCTGTTCCCCGTTGCGCAAAGGAGGCTTCAATAACACGTCCGCGGCTGTTCTTGCCAAGGTGAAACAATTTCTTATCCGCCTCTAGCAACGTGATCGGTACGTCAACCCGAGAATATGCGCGGGAGCTATTGCAGCCGTAAGTCAGCCACAGGGGTTAAGTTGGGGCTCAGCACCATCGTCAGCCGTCCACCTCACTCTATGACTTGGGTTCACACGGCAACACGCATGCAAGGCACAACAGCTTTAATCCAATTGTAACTGCTAGATTTACTGTCCGCGAGCAAACATGGTAGACCCATTCCAAGGAACATGGAATGTTGATCTCACGAGCAAGGAGAGTCGCATTTGGGATGCTGAGAAAGAAACCTATGTCGCCGACAATATTGGCTCGGAAATTACGAAGATGAAGATCGAGAATGGGGTCCAAGAGTATGAGGTCCTTTATGGGCAGAATCCGACATTACGAATGGGTTATACCTCACGCTACGACAGTACAGACTGGGCTCCCTACACAGTGAGAGGCATCGAAGGGGTCCCAGAACAAGATCAAGAGCGGGCAGCGATTGAGTTCCGTGAACGTACAAAGAGCCCATATCCTTTTGCTATCGGTAAACCCATTCAATATGTCCGCACCATCAAAGTGGATGAGCGTACGCATTACCGTATCAGCAAGGATGTCAACGGCCAGGCGGACTTTATCCTTATGCGGCGCATGGATGAGAGCCAGGATACGTATGTGGCAACGCTGATTGATGTATCGGGACGAATCTTGATCGTCCGCCGCTTTAGACGGGTGCAGTAACGGATAATTCTCGAGGCGCGGACTATGGGCTGAGGTGTTATTACCAGATGTTGTTTGGCAACGGGTCACTACCCGAGGGGTGGGTTCGGTATTTCGAAGCCATAACTAGAGATGGGGTAGAAATGCTTAACTACTCAACATCCCGGACTGCAAATTGTGTAGGCTATTGATATTGAATAACAACTTCAGCTTCCGAAGATGCCAAGCTTGAAGTCTCTAACCGCCCTTTTGATTGTGCTCGTGGCATGTGCCTGGTATGAGCCGTATTGGATCTTGAACACTTTTGCAGGGCGCCGAGCAAATCCAGCTTCCGCAACTGGGCTACTAAACCATGGATCGCTGAACAACGACAGGTGTTGGAAAAATTCAAGTAAGCTTGCAGTCTTACCCTCGGGGCATTGTCTGACCGGTTACAGTTGGCAAGGCATGTGAGGATGTCCGTATCCACCACGACTCTGGTGTAGCTTTCCTAGGTAGGCATCTATCCGAGTGCTAGTCTTCCTATCCTGATAGCGGAAAGCATGCGGGTATCCAGAGACAAGGCAGTATTTTTTTCCACCCATTGGGAACCACGATAAAGAACGGGCTTCCACTTATCTTGAGTACTTTGTAAAGTATGACCTAAAGGTAAAAGGAATTGAACAAAGGGCGTCTCTTTTGTTGACGACCAGCCAGACAAACTCAACCACACGTCTCCGGGTGGAAGGACTCGATCCCGCACAGGACCTTGTGCTCCATGGTATGGATGTGGTTTCGAGCTCAAACGAGTCCATGGTGAGCTAGAAGATCCAAGAACAACAACAGAGCAGAAGGCACTAAGCGATTCAAGATTTACATCTTTGCTGTGAATCATGCCCGTGATGGAGAGAGCATTGTCAAATTTTCCCATGATCTCGGCACTGATACTCTCAGATTCGAGCAAGAGTTCAAGCATTCTGCAATCAGGACACCGAACGCAGTAGCTGCCGCAAGTCCTAGGTAAGTGGTCCTTCCCGACGAGCAAGCCAAAATCTTACGAAACAGTTCATTCTTCGTTAGCAATGATCACTACTTCTACGGAGGTACTCTGGGTGGCGTTCCACGACATCTGGAGCACAAGTACGGTCCGTTCTGGTGGGCATCCAATGTTGTGCATTGCTCAACCACTGATGATTTCGTGAATTGCAAAACCGTCTCTCCGAAATGGTCGCTTCTTGCGGCTAACGGGGCTGTATTGGTGGAAAACGGCACTAAGCTATTGATCAACGATCTACTTGACGCGAGCACGACCATCTATCGGGTCGAACCGCAATCCAACATGCTTACATTTATGAAGAAGATAGTGAGTACGAAGGAAGGCTCCCAGTGGTCACCGCTAAATCAGTTGATGTAGTCTCACGGCTCGCAAGTAGACAATCTTTCACTTGTGTCTGGGTCAGAAGATGTCTTAGTCTGCGGTAAGCAATCAAGGACGGTTCGTCTGGGACAGAACGCTAAATATTGCTTCGCCAGCATTTCCTGACATCGCAAAAACCTGGGAACGATTATCGCAGCCGCTGAATACCAGCCTTCATGTCGATGCAGCTATTATTCGTCTTGGCAAGGGGGACGAATACCGTCCCAAACTACTCTACTGGGACGACGGATCGCTTTTGAGCGTACTGACAGGCGCTGCTTTTGATGACAAACGCCAAACATTAGTTGCTGGGGGGGCGATCGAGCAACACTTTATTGTCTGCGATATCAGTGACGCTTAGCTCGGTCATTTCATATCATGGTGAAGCAGTGTCGGTGAAGGGGTTTGAGTGAAATGGATGTTATTCTGCGAGTTGACTTATACTTCGTCACGAGCTAGCAGAGTAGTACATGTATTTTGTGGACGTACAAGTTGACCCTGTTCGACTACTTCTTGATGGGGCGATAGAGCTGTTTGTGACTAGATTGATCAAATCTGAACCGCGGGACCGCGATTTACCGCGGGGTGGGTACACAAGAACAGCCTGTGGACGATTACCTATGGTATCACATAAAATATTTCCAATCGAGAAGACCATCTTAGACAAGGAGAAGCAATCATCTAGACATGAACAGTCTGCATCGACGCACATGATATTCTGAGCCATCACCGACGATAAAGGCACTTAGCATGGGCACAACTATTGTACACTCCGTGCTTCTCTTTGACGGAAATACGACCCACCAGGACGCCACCATCGCGTTTGAGGCCGAATCTGGCATCATAAGATCTGTCACTGTCGGGACGAAACTACAAGCCACTCCAGATGCATCGGTGATTGACGGCAAAGGGTGCACGTTACTGCCCGGCTTCATTGATTCGCACATCCACTGTGATGCACCAGGAGTATTGGACGGTGGAGAGGAGAGTGGTATATCACAAGCTGCACTCAGATGTGGAATCACAACTGTCTGCGACATGCACTCCGACCCAGTCGCTGTCAAGCGATGGCGGTTAAGAGTAGCTAATGAGCGAGAGCAGGCCCTTCAAATGGGGGGAAAGGTCAGCATGCCTGATCTCAAGAGCGCCTTGTACGCAGCTACTGTCAGTCATGGGTATCCAAAGTCACTCCTCTTGGGCGAGAACCCTTCGGATGAGGTGTGTTGAGTCATGGGTTGAGGCTCGAGGCTCGAGGCTAAATAAAATCGCAGTTAAAAGCTACCATCAATTCCTGGCCAAGTGTCACAGAGGACACGGCAAGCGAGTACGTGAAAAACAGCAAAGAGAACGGAGCAGATTACATTAAGCTATTCCAGGAGGATTGCAAGTGCTTCGCTGTCCCCACGGGATGTGTTCCCATACCAACGATCACATTGCAACGCGCCGTTACTGCAGCTGCTCATGCGGAGGGACTACTCGTGCTTGCACATGCGAACAGTGTCGAGTCTTCCGAACTCGTTCTCGATGCTGGAGTCGACGGCCTGACACACACATTCGTAGATCAATATCCCACGACACAGATTGTTCAGAAGTACAAGGAGACGAACGCCTTCCTTATTCCAACACTCACTGCACTGTCAACATTGACAGGCGAGGCACAGGATTTCAGAGACGAGTTTGCAAAGGCCGCAGAGCGGAAGAGACTGGTGGATCCAAAAACTCTGGAATTGATGCGAAAATCCGTATCCTGGAGCGATCATGGCGTCAAGTTCGAGTACGCAGTTGAATCTGTCAGGGTGCTGAGAGCACAGGGTATCGACATTCTTGCGGGGACTGACTCTATGCCCGGACTCAATGGCACCGCTTTGGGGCCAAGTTTATGGATGGAGCTCGCCATGTATCACCGCCTATGTGCCATGAGTACTCTTGAAGTTTTACGATCAACAACATCAGTGCCTGCGAGGAGATTCGGATTTGATGACCGCGGAGTTGTTGAAGCAGGCAAGAGAGCAGATCTCGTACTGGTACGCGGCGACGTTGTTCGGGATCTGCAATGCCTGTGGGAAGGCGATGGGATCCTAAAGGTTTGGAGGCAGGGCATAGAAGCCACGCTGTAACCAGTTCACAATTTGAACCCAAAGATTGTCATTGATAGCGATGATACACTGAAATCAATTCTCCTCGGGGTGTGTGGGTCTGCCATGTCCACAGAGTCCGATTCAAAACCCTCGGCTCCTCCGCAAATAACCACAATCCAGAATACGCGAATTGCTATACTGTAGGGTGTAAAGGCAGTTCTTCGTCAGCTCTGCCGGTCTAAGTTCCAGAGGATCTAAAAGCCCCACATTGAGTTTTGACAAAGTCTGGGATGAGGAACTGTGTGTCCCGAGGCAGTCTTGTGGCTACGCCAAGGAGGCTTCCAGACTGCCGCGGAAACCTCGAATGTAATTACCATACAACTATGTGATCGTGAAGGCAGTTGGGAAAGCAAATGAAACGATCGCTTCTTCCCTGCCTTTGAGCATCAGCTCTTATCATACCAAAATGGAAGCACTTGTTCGACTCATACTTATTGCCGGTGTTTGCTGCTCGTTGGGAGCGCTGTGGTACACGAGACGCAAGCGGACGGTGATCTACCCCGACCTTCCTTTCGCCTCGCTCGACGACAAGGAGGTTGGCGATCCTGATGTCTGCCGCATGCAGTTTATGGCCGATTGTAATGGACTGTTGAAAAAGGGCTCTGAGAAGGTACACAAGCTCGCGGGCCGAGGACTTCACCTCTGACTATGTGCTCGCAGTTCAATGGACCATTCCAGGTGTATACAGGCGATGGCCGGCGTATCGTACTCCCGAACTCATTTGCAGATGAGATACGCGACAATGAGAACATGAGTTTTGGTGAATCTGCGATAGAGGTGATGCAGCATGATGTCTTGCCACTTTACTAGTCTGACTATTGACTTAGGGCACTTTTAATACCTTGTCAGGGTTCGAACCCTTCGGCCTCGCTGTCCATCAAGGTGTTATGAGAGATGTTGTCAGACTCAAGCTCACCAGATCCCTGGGTTAGGAACGCTGGCAATGCCAACCGATTTTCAAAGCTAATCATGAACAGACGCTATTACTCCAGAGCTTCGTGACGAAGCTCGACAGTCCGTGGACATCATCCTGGGTAAAGACCAAGGTAAATCCTCGTTGCGCCCAGAACGGAAGAGCCTTGACCTAACTCCATTGACAGAGTGGAAGGAAATGAGTCTAAAAGACATCAATGCTCGTCTTATTGCACGGCTTTCCAGTCGCATTTTCTTCGGTGCCGGGGTCTCCAACAATGACGAGTACCTCGACGCCACGATATCCTATACGATGGACTCATTCATGGCTCATCGTATTCTGCGTACATGGAAACCTTGGCTTCGTCCATTCGTGCACTGGTTCATTCCTGAGTGCCAAAGGGTCAGACAGCTTCGAAAGACGATCCGAGACATTATCTCACCCGTCATCAAGCAACAAGAGCAGGAACGCCGCAACAGGTCCGATACAAAAGTGAAAGTCTCCGATATGCTTGGCTGGCTCGAGGAAATAGCAAGTCGTAAGAATACGACTGTCCCTGTGGCGGATGCACAGCTTTTCCTTGCCTTTGCCGCCATCCACACCACTACTGAGAACCTGACCTACGTTCTCCTTGACATTGTTGACTGTCCAGGACTGATCGATAGGCTGAGAGACGAGATTGTTGAAGTTCTTAGCACTCATACCTGGACTAAAACCACTTTTGGGCAGATGAAGCTTTTGGACTCGGTCTTGAAAGAGAGTCAACGCTTACATCCTGTCAGTGCTAGTATGTTACTCCTTCAGTCTCTACTTGTGACTTCATTTAACCATGCACAGTTATGATGGAACGAAAGGTGCTGGCACCGGTCACGCTCTCCAATGGCCTGACTCTGCCTGCAGGGTCGGACACATTCCTCGACACCCTTGTCCACCGTTCCCCAGAGATCTACCCAGACGCGGACAAGTTCATCCCGGATCGATTCATGAAGCTGAGAGAGATTGATACGGTTGCCAACAGCAAATGGCAATTTGTATCGACGTCTGCGCAACATCTTGGCTTCGGTCATGGTCGAAACTCATGCCCTGGCAGATTCTTTGCTAGCAACGAGCTCAAAATTGCTCTCGTGTACTTACTGATCGGCTACGACTGGAAGTATCCTGAAGGCGGACGCGTTCCTGAAATGCGGATGGGTCAAGGTGCTTGGGTGCCGGCAGAGCAAAAGATCATGTTCAAGAGAACGGCGGGCGCCAACGATTCTTTGTTATAGATGTCTGCCGCATATCGACAAATGCCCTCAGGGTCATAATCTTGATTTTCAATTCTCCGCACTGAGTGAGGCGAAAGGGTGAGCTATGGCAAGTTTCAAATCATTTCGCATCCTATTCCTTCAGCTCGATTTGCGATAGAAAAAAATTCTGCCCAAACAATGGCTCAAGCCAGTACTCATGGTAGCGGTGCAACTTGTTGGCCCACGAAGCATGCGCAGGCCCTCCATGCTTGTTCTTCATACTATCAATTAACAGCCACTCCCCGTCCGGCCCCCTTTTGAACTGGATGCCCTTCTTCGTCGCCGCTTCAGCAGATCTGCGCAGGTCTGCAACCCCGAAAATGAGTGCAAAAAATCCTTCTCCCTTTTCTCGCAGGTGTTGAGAAAACTGCGAACCGTCGGAAGGATCAAGGGGCGCCAGGACTTCGATTCCTGCGCTTACCGACTGGGCTTGGAGAATGCCAAAGGCTTCCATTTCGGCGGGTCCATCCCAGTCGGTAATCCCGAATGCATTGCTCAAAGTTTCAATCACCGACGGGATATTTTCCTTGTAGAAAACGTATGCGACGTGGTCAATTCGCTGGACGTTTTGGGGCCCTTTTCCGCTCGTGTTGTTGGGCGATTCCATCTCAGATGTTCGATGTGAGTGCACTGGCGTAACAAGCAGTTGGATTACCGGGTGCTAGCGCTCTAAGTCCGGAATATTTGCTCCCCTTTTTCACTGTAGTAGATTATATGTACATACAGAGTGGATCGGAAGTCTCGGCTACATCGGTCTGAAGGGGTGGTTGCTATATCATCCTCAAAGACTTGCCGAGTAAGGCTGCTAAACCAACATCCCGAGGGTCCCGAGGGTCATGGAAACAACGACGCCTCAGTTTACAAAAACACTTGGATCAGGTCGCCACGACAGGCGACCGTCCTTATGTGTATGGCTTCTTGACAGATCCTTGGAGAAGCTCATCCACGAAGTCCTCGAATGCTTTGTACTGAAAATCCGGATATAAATCATGAGCACTGATATAGCCCAGATACTCGGAGCACTCCGGCGTGTTGTCACCACGTAGATACTTGCTGGGCAGATACAAAGCCTGACATAATTGGACCTGTTTCATCCAGTCTTGCGGCTCTGCAGCATAAGCCTTTCGTGCGGTTGCGATTCTATCGTAGATGTCGGCAGCCGAGACCTATAGATCACCATCAATCTACCGCAAATACCATGGGATAGGTGCAATTTCACTCACCGACTCCAGATCTAATTCTTCACCCGTCTTTTGGCGAATAATTGTGCCAACCTCTTTCTGGCTCAGAATCTGCCCATAACAGTATACCCTCTTATTCAGAGTTCGCGGATCTTTGATAATCTGCGCGGTGATTCGCCCAACGTCTCTCTCATCGATCAACATGTTGGGCGTCTCGCCATCGCCATAGATCTCATTCGAGGGGTCAAATGCAGCGTAGTCTAGACGGCCGCTAGGCACCCGGGGGAAACTGACCTGATACCATGTGCCAACATCGATGATCGTGAAGCCGAGACGGTGGCGGAAAATGTGGTCATGGATCTCTTCTTTCTCATCACGCATATCCATAATGCCACCTCGTGGACATGGTGTTCCCCAGTTTGTGGGAACAAAACGTTTGACTCCAGCTTTGACTGAAGCATCAATAAGTGGAATCTGCACAGAGAGTGAAAAGGCATTCACAGCCACAATGACTACATCGAAACCTTGCAGCAAAGACGCAAGGTATTCCACAGAATCGTTCAAGGGGTTTGCAGTGACGATTTTGAGCCCGTGTTGTTGTCGAAAGGTTCGCAGAGCTGAATGGGCAGCAGCTGGTGATCGGACTGAGCATGTCACTTCCTTCATTTGGTCAGCAATACTGGACGCAGGAGACTTCGTAGTCATACAAAGTGTGCATCCTGTAACAGAGCCTCAACTATTGCACGTCCGGTCTCACCCCCGCCACCAACCACGAATGCCTTGCTCTTAGTCATGATAGATGTCGCTGAAATGCCGATGAAGTGGGCTTGATGGTGGTAGAATCACGCCAAATTCTACGTTTTATAATGTCGTAGCCGACGGAATCAAAGCCGGCAATTTCCCGAGGGGTTTTTTTCGCCGGAAGAGCACGCCGCTGTCATCTGGACTCGCTTTCACAATTCTGGTTGGGTCAACAGCCTTGAAGGTCCGCAAATCACAATCTACCATCAATCACAAAACATAAGATCAAATTTTCCATGTCTTCGGTATACGCTGTCCTGGGTAGAGCTGTGGCAAGTGGAGTAGGCTCTTGTATCACACTGCTCTATGGTATGTGTCTCAGGGTAGGTAAACGCTCCCTGCTAGCAGGAAGCATTAAGCTTGTCTCCTGTCTCGTGCGCTCTCTATGGTTGTATAAGCCACCAGCTCAAATGTATCCTGCAAGAATTCTAACTCCAAAAACCAACAGTCCCGCCGCCCAGTTCCAGCTGTACTACAACAGCAACGCAGTGTTGACATGTTGTATCAAATCAATATTGTCCAATTTCTCGGATTCCAAAGCTATGCTATGTTCCGCCCAAAACCTGCCTCTTGATGTAACTAATCAGACGATCATCTGACTCTCTCTCATGAAATCTGTCGGCTGTCAGGCCCCCCATTGGAAAAGTATGAATGGCACCTTTCCCAGCATAAACCTCTACATCGATTCCATTGAGCTTGCAGTTCTCGATCCAAGCTCTAGAATGTTCCTCCAGGACTTCAACGTCGCCGTAGATGCACATATGCGGCGGAAGCCCTTTTAGATCTTTGGCCAACGCCATCGAGATCTCAGGCGAGGTAATGGGCCTATTACCGGCCAGCTGTTTGGCCTGCAGCTGGGCTGCTCTGCTCGTCCCATCGCCGTAGACAAAATCAACGTAAGTGAAAGGGCTTGTAATAGTGTTTCTCATTGACGGATCCATCCAGGGAGAGATCAGTATCGTGCCAGCCGGGCGTGGAATCTCTGGATGATCTTTCATATAGTATATGATCGAGGCGGCAAGATGACCTAAGTTCGTCAGTCGACCCATGGTTTGCAATTATTGCATGAGGCATAGAGCGCCTTACCACCTGCAGAATCACCGGAAATGATGATATTCTTTGGCGACACATCCTCTTGCTTGATGAGATAGTCATAAGCCCCTAGAGCTGTGTCTCTTTGGGCTGGGAAGGGTTTGTCTCCAGTCAGCGCTGTTGGAAATTTCAGCTCAGGCTCAACTTCAAGTGTAACACAAATAACCTTACGATATCTGATGCTAAACACAGCCAGATTTAGACCCTTCTGTGAAGCCTTCTTGGTCCAGCGTACAAAGCTACTATAGCATTGTAGAGGCTCCCCAATAACATAGCCACCGCCATGGCAGTACAGAATTACTGCATCGAAACTCGCGAGTGAGCGAGTTGGATACTGTGAGACGACATAGGCTTCCACACCGGGAGCGTCAACTCGTCTCGCGGCCTTAATTTCAGCTTTCGAAGCCGTGTATACGTAGCGGTAGTCTCGGTGCATGAAAATGCGCAATAAAAGCGACTTCCACGCGGTAACGAAGTTTGTCGGCTTGGTCCTCCAGAAGGTCAGGAGTCTTCTAATGCTGAGCGAAATGCTGTGCAGCCCAAACTCAAGCATGATGAATGAGAACCGGAAGGGGTGCGCGGCCACATACTCCCAGTTGAAGGCCGTCATAGTCACTGGAGTGCTTCCTTTGACGTTGTGATGCCCCTCAATGGGTAACAACCGATGCAAAGACCTGCTCTGAGCTGTATCCCTTGAAATCAATACTTCCAAAAGAGACAGGGCGCTTGCGGACCGACGTCGTCGATGGTGCTCAAATTTGCTGAACCTTTGTATGCTTGTCACGGGATATCCACCGAACACGCTCCACAAGCTGATGCGACTCATCCGCGCTGCAGGAGAGTAACCGAGTAATGAAGGTGGCATTCTTGCCGCGGAACGGGTCTCAGTCGTAACAGCCCCGGCACGCCTTGAAGGAGGTTAGTCTACCGAGAACACTGGCTTGGGGTAGCTCCTCTTGGCTCTAGATCGCGAAAACGTGCGTCTCCCCAGATATGTACCCCACAGATCTCATCCACTCGACTCCAGCGCTGTGTCCCGGGTCAGCAGTATAAAATATAGCTGGGATTCCATACCGACACCGAAGTCCCATTTCCAAAGCCAGCCAGCTCGTTACACTCAGGATCTTTGCTGTCTCAACTTCCTTTGAGCTGTTCAACCCTACCAGTCTCCAACATGACTGCCACCGACGTTGCGGCGCTTAATCGCCAGCCGTTCACCCTCTATATGATGGGCATTCTGCTTTATATGGCAGTTGGTTCCCTCGCCTATGGTTACGCCAGCGCCATCATTGGGACGACCCTGGGTCAGCCTTCCTTCTACGCCTACTTTCCTGTCCTCACTACAAGCCAGGGTGCAGGCTTGATTGGGACCATGAACGGCCTCTACTTTGCAGGGGGGTTCTTTGGTGTACTTTGCTATCCCCTTGTGGCTGACAGATTGGGACGAAAGATGGCCATCGCTGTGGTATGCTACAAAGAATCAGTCGGCCTTTTTGAGCTAGCCTGCTGACACCAACATGTAGGCTCTCATAATCGTTACTATATCGGGAGCCTTCTTGGCTGGTAGCGTTCATATTGCAGAATTCATCGTCTTTCGCTTCATCGCTGGCTTTGGAGCGTTTCCACTCATCATCGGCGTACCTGTAAGTCAACGACAAGGTCATGTTTAAGAAGCTTGACTTACACTCCACAGACATGGGCTGCTGAGATTGCGCCTCCCAAGTACCGTGGAGCAGTGGTAGAAATCCACGCCCTGGGCTACTGTCTAGGATATGCAGTTCAGGGTTGGATTGGCTTGGGATTCTACTTCTGGACCGAGCCCGTCGCATGGAGAGTCCCCTTGGCCTTTCAATCCATATTCCCCCTGTTCCTCCTTGGCGGCCTCTACTGGTTGCCTGAGAGTCCACGTTTTCTCATGATGAAAGGCCGCACTGAGGAAGCCAAGAAGATTCTACTAAGAGTCCATCAGAAGCCTAAAGAAGAACACAGTCTATTCGTGGCCGCCGAGATTCTTCAAATCTCAAAGCAAATTGAACTTGACCGTCAGATGAGCGCTTCCTGGCTGGACTTGATTAGGAAGCCCTCCAACAGGAAGCGTTGCCTACTCACAGCCGGCATGACCTGGAGTATTAGCAGCACTGGAGTCTTGGTCATAAATAGTGAGTTGCACCGCATGAATTCGGATTCTCATCACTTACACCGGGACAGACTACGGCCCAATTATCTACAAGAGCCTCAATTTCAGCCCTGTAGAGCAGCTCCTTTATCCAGCCGGTTGGTCCACCATGACTTTTGGGATCAACCTATTTGTACCCTTCTACATCGACCGTATTGCCCGAAACAAGTTTGCTGCTGCGGGCGTAGGCGGCGCTGGTCTATGTCTCGCCGTCTTCACCGCACTTATAGCAGAGTATCTTCCCACGAACAACACCTCAGGTTTGAAAGCTGCTGTTGGGATGCTTTTTATCTTCAACTTCTTCATTGCGGCATTTCTTGAAGGTGAGCTTTGAACTGCACGCGACCCCCGATCTGTTGCTTATGGACAACGATTAGGGATCCAATACGCCTTTTTCAGTGAAATTTGGCCAAACCATCTTAGAGCGAAAGGCATGAGTTTTGCTTTTGCGAACTTTTGCGTCTCATGCATCCTCTGGCTCCAAATTGCTCCCACTGCCTTCGAGTAAGACAGCTTCCTTCCGCCAACGATTCTAAAGGGCTTGCTGACAGATCGTATAGCAACATCCACTGGAGATACTATATCGTGTTCATTGTCATTTCTTGCGTCATGGCTGTTGTCATGTGGTTCTTCTATCCCAACACCAGAGGAATGCCACTAGAAGAAGTTGCTCAACTCTTTGGTGATGCTGAAGATGTAGCTGTTTATCAGCGTGAGCTTGCAGCTGTCGGGGATTTGAGTGCGCTGGAAGACACAGTCATATACACCTCTGATCATTTGGCGGAAGAGAAACATCAAGGCGTGCATGCAGAAGTGGAGAACGATGGTAGCCAACGAGGAGATACAAGGCCAGCTACACTTGTGTAAGACAGCACGCGTGGCAGGTATCCCTTTCGATCTCAGGGGATGGCATTAGTGTATTCGTTGTGCAGGACGTATTTACTGCTGTGCCGTCGTTTCGCGTCCTAGCCATACAGACGGTACTGGTGACAGTATCCGAGCTCGATACCAAGAGCAGGCTACTCCTGGCAAGTGGAAATATATGCATCGTCTGTATTCAATCTTAGAAGAGGTTTCTCCTACGATCCAGCCGCGGTTCACTCGGAGCATTTTTTGCGGGAAGCTGGATTCTATCGGGTGCCAACTTCCCATTCGCAGTGCACATCTGCCCGTGGCTAAGGATATTCCAGTCACCAGCCAAAGCTCCGCTACTGCACGCTGGGATCTGCTGCAAACTACATATTGCACTAATTCCACGTACACCATACCACATTAGCCTCACAGATCGATCTCCAACAACATGAATTGCCCTCGAGTACTGCTCACGGGTGCAAATGGATTTATCGGAGCCCACGTCCTCGACGTCCTCCTGAAAAACGGTGCATTTGTGCAGGCGATAGTTCGTGGCCCTGAGAAGGCAGCTAGACTTCGCAAGGACTTCTCTGCATTCGAAAAGACAAGGTTGGACTTTTCAATTGTCCCCGACATAACAGTTGAAGGCTGCTTTGACAAGTGCATGCAGGAATGCCAACCTCTTGACGCAGTCGTCCACACTGCGGCGCCTTTGGCTCCCACTGAGTTCTCCAAATCTCTCGGGCCTATGCTGCAAGGAACGCTTGAGATTCTGCGATCAGTGTCACGCCATGCGCCGACTGTCAAGCGTGTGGTAATTACAGGAAGCTTCTCGTCGATTGGTAATGTACTCGACATACAAAATGGTGGCATTGTCTATTCGTCTGACAGCTGGAACCCAATTACGATGGAACAAGCAAAATTCAGTCATGGAGAAGTGGCTTACTGGGCGGGCAAGACAATCGCCGAAAAAGCAGGTAAGAGACGCTTCCACTTGCAGCTTGAAAACTTGAGTTTGGCTTACTCCATTTCATGGCAGCATGGGAGTTCGTTCAGAACGAAAAGCCCCCGTTCGAACTCGTCGTCCTGTGTCCGACAGCGGTGTACGGCCCTCTGCGGCACAGCATCGATTCAATCAAAGACTTGAATTCATCTAACAATCATTTGTACGAGAATTTCTTCGCCTCCTCGAAAGAACTGCCAGTTCCCGAAGACTATGTTCAATCATCCGTTGATGTTCGAGTGAGTTGAATCATGATTCTTTAGTCCTGACTGACTGTCTAGGATCTTGCTACTGCGCATTACCAGGCATGCTTTGCCCCGAGCGTCGGCAACAGACGCTACCTTGTGACTGCGGGAGAAAATCTCAATCAAGAGATTTCTGATATTATGAGAGAAGCATTCCCTGACCGCGACAGGAACATTCCACTGGGCAATCCGGGGAACCATACTTTGGGGCCAGAAATGTTTCGTACAGACAACGCTTTGTCAAAAGAGGTATTAGGAGTGAGCTACCGCCCATTTCGGGAGACTCTCGTAGATGTATGTCGCTATTTCCTTGAAATGGAAGCGCAGGATTCTTCTGCGTGAATGTTTTCTCGAAGAGGGCAATTTCAGTTTGAAATTGGGAGAAGGGAAACTTGGTCATGCCCACCGCCTTGTGACAAGCATTTACCTATCTCTAAGATATATTACATCAGATCCTAGAATATGTCGCCATAAGAACTGTTCCATAGACTCAATTTATGTTCTTGCCAACTCGGCAATACCCATGTCTTGAGCGTGGCCATGCACTCGGTGAATGGCCCTACAAACTAGACGACTTACCATCCTCAATAAAGGCACTGTTGTCAACCTAGCACGGCGAAAGAGTTCCAATTTTGGAGTTCCGATTCAAAGGTTGCTGTGCCGGACATCCGTGCCAGGAGTTCTGTATCATTTCTTTCTCTAGGCGGGAACCCTTCTTGGATGTTGTCAGCGCAACTTAGATCCTGAGAGATCAGTGCCAGCACAAACCTGCAGTGCAAACTGGGGACCTGGTACGCGAAAATATAAATGGAACAACTATTGTAGGCTATCGGTACTCCACCGAGCCTTGATTTGCTCCATCGGTCCATCGGCGGACTTCGGCTCGATTTCAGCTCGAACCGATGAGCCAAAACACGAGTAATTCATCACGTTGGGCAGCTTCCGAGTATGGTCGGTCTACTCGGAAAGCCGAATGAGGCGGCGGTATATTGTCTCAACGGACTGAGATAAACCCCAGTCAGGATCTTGCTACCAAATGAGAAACATCCCACGACAATAACTCATTCGTGCGTTGGAACACCTGTGCACCGTCGACACCATGGGTTCCCTGGAAGGTAAAATAGTATGTATTGGTCTCGGACACGATGCCCAACATCAGAAACTGCACTGACAACTTCACAGATTGCGATAACTGGCGCAGCCGACGGCATCGGCCTTGCCAGTGCACGTATGCTTGCCAAACGCGGTGCTACACTTGCTCTCGGCGATATCAGCCAGGCTAAGCTGGAGGCAGCATTGGCCTCTCTGGGTCCGGGAAAGCACATTGCAACCGTTGTTGATGTCACCAACTCGAAGCAGGTCGAAGAGTGGATACAGGAAGCGGCGACAAAATTGGGTAAGCTGGACGGCGCGGCCAACATAGCTGGAGTCTGCCGCCATCCTGCTCCCATTACTGAAGAAAGCGACGAAAATTGGGACACAACAATGGGTAAGAGGCTGCGGTGACCGATCTTAGCCCGGGATAGTTTGAGCTGATTCGAACGCAGGCATCAATGCGAAAGGCATCTTCAATTGCATGAGGGCCCAATTGAAGCATATGAATGACGGCGGCTCTATTGTGCGTGTAACCTGACTAGTGTATGGCACCGTGCCGATATACTTTCCTGTACCTCTTGCGTGGTAGGCAACTAACACTACGGGCCACATCTCCAGGTGAACTTTGCAAGCGTCGGCGGTCTTATTGGCACCCCGAATTTCAGCGTCTACAACGCAAGTAAATGGGCTGTGGTTGGTTTGACGAAGTCCGTGGCTCGAGAAGCCGGAGAGCGAAGCATCAGGGTGAATGCGATATGCCCGGGTATGACCAACACGCTGCTCCTCATTCTTTAAGACCAGAGAACGAGTCTAATGAGTCATGGATGTACAGGCACTATCATGACGACCATGACAACCAAGATTGCAGACAAGGATCCAAACTTTAAGCCGTGGGAAAAGCAGGCTTTGAAACGCGGAGCTGATCCTGATGAGGTGGCTCGCGTAGTTGCCTTCTTGTTGGGCGAAGAGGCAAGTTTCATTACAGGCTGCGCCTATCCAGGTTGGTATCTCTCGCTTGTGCAAACTCGCTGAAATCCCATCAAGATGTGCCGTTTGCTGACACATTTGCGCGCAATGTAGTTGACGGAGGGTGGACTGCTTAGGCATTGGGCCTTATCGAGGAATCGGACTTTGCTCGAAGCGTGGGGTAACAGCCAATAGCCGGCCGCCTCCTTTCCGAGGTTCCTTCGGCCGCATTTTCCATCCTGCCGGGATTGTGCAGGGGGATTGCTCAGCCATAAATGTTTAGAATATACTTATCAATAAGCCGACTCACTGGCGCTGTTGTTTCTATTTCGTGCTGTTAAACCCCACGTACAAAATGTCGTCGATAGTAGATGGATGTAAGGAGCATTTCAAGACCCAGGCTGATATGCAATATGGCGTCCTGCCCCACGGCACAACCGTACCGGTTTCGCGCTTCAAGGCGTCTATGTCACCAGAAGCTCTGGAAGAGCTACACTTGTTGGTCCGCAGCGCAAAAATTGCTCCTGTAACGTACGAGAACGATCTTGGAGATGAAAAGTTTGGAATTTCCCGCAGTTTCCTTGTCCAGGCTAAAGCAGCCTGGGCGGAATATGACTGGCGAAAATCAGAAGAATACATCAACAAATACCCAAACTTCAAGGCTTCCCTTGCTTATGAAAACCATGATTATGATGTGCATTTTGTCGGTCTTTTCTCCAAGAACCAGAATGCCCGCCCTTTGCTGCTCTTGCATGGCTGGCCAGGTAGAGATCGACCCCGGCGGATCGACTGCGGCTACTGACCCTGCTGACAGGAAGCTTCCTCGAGTTTCTGCCAATCGCCGACCTGTTCAAGCGCCAATATAGTGAGGAGAACCTTCCGTATCATATCATCATTCCTTCTCTTCCAGGTTATGCATTCTCTTCCGGACCAGCGGTCACGACAGACTTTAGCCTCGACGACGTTTCGAAGATTATCCACTCCTTAATGGACGGCCTGAAGCTGGGTACAAGCTATCTCATACACGCAGGCGATGTTGGAAGCCAAGTCGCCTTGAGATTAGCAAACTCCTCATCGGCGGTGAAAGGTAGCTATCAACCGATGTCCAGAGTAGCCCGTACTAACTCTGAACAGCAGTACATTGTGAGTCCCGCCAGGCGTAAAATAGTGGTCTTTTCTAAATCTTGGATCATAGTGACCAACGGGATATCATCCAAACCTGACGACGCAGACGAAACTTACACTCAGCAGGAGGTCGAGGGATTGCAAAGAGTGGCAGAGTTCTCGAGGAGCGGGACGGGCTACGCCATAGAACAGTCTACCAAGCCAGCAACAATAGGCCTCGTTCTTGCAACGAATCCGCTCGCGCTACTGGCCTGGTAAGAAACCCTCCACAAGGTGCAGACCGTGGGCTATGTTTCAATCCTAATGGAATGACAGGATCGGGGAGAAGTACCAGGACTGGACGGATACTACACCACCTCTGATTACGATTCTGGAAACGGCCACTCTCTACTGGCTGACGGACACACTCCCCAGATCACTTTACCCATACAGGGACTTGTTCTCTGGTTCGAACAACTCATTTGGAACACAGGGAGGGAACAAGACAACGCCATTTGGTATCAGCTGGTTTCCAAAAGAACCAGCCCCGTTCCCTCAGAGTTGGTTTGTAGGGCAGCTCCATGTCACTTTCTTCCGGCATCATGACAAAGGTGGTCATTTCGCCGGATTAGAGCAGCCAGAGGTGCTCAAAAAAGATTTGGAAGACTTTTTCTCTCAGATACAATAAACCCTGCCCAGCGGTTGGCGTAGGACTGTAGAAAGCAGAACTCCGGCCCGCTGACAGGCGAGGCCAGGCCCAAATTCAGTGTCCTAAACTGTAGTTTCGGCCAGTGTGTCAGTCCACTGATCTCCCTATCCCCGCGGGCCTCGGGCGAGTCACCTGAGCCCACCGTTCCCGCCGGTTTGCGGGCCAATCCTCGGTTTAGCATACACAGGGGACGATATAAACAAGCAACGTTCAAAAGATATTGAATTCCACCATGATAGATCCCCTGAAGTGCAACCTTGTCCCCCACAATTTCCGAGTCAACCAACATGGGTGACGCTGGCCCCCCGAACAACTTCGTGCCGCCGTCTGTGCAAGTAAGCAGCACAAACAACAACATTCCAGCAGTCCCGGCGCCAGACATAACCCACCGCCCAGACGTCGACACCGATGTTGTGATCATCGGCACGGGTTTTGGTGGCATCCGGGCTATTCACGAAGCCAGGAAGCAAGGCTTTACGTTCAAGGTGTTCGAGAGGGCCTCTGGGGTCGGTGGAGCATGGTACGGGCAAATCTGAGACAGCCGGGCTGGGTAATTGTGAACTGACCGGTCGTCACAGGCACTGGAACAGCTACCCGGGCGCCCGCACGGATACCGAGAGCTGGGTGTACATCTTGAACATCTCCAAAGAACTGAACGACGACTGGGTCTGGCCAGAGCGATACCCCAGTCAGGTTGAAATGAAACGCTACTTTAACCATGTGGTCGATCGCTTCGACATGCGCAGGCACATTCAATTCAACACCGAAGTTACGGAAGCCCAGTACGACGACGACAGAAACATGTGGACGGTGACTACCGACAAGGGGGAGCGGCATACCGCCACCTACATCATTGCGGCGACCGGATCCTTGTCCTCGAGCCTAAAACCACCGTTTCCCGGCCTTGAGACGTTCAAAGGGCAGTGGCTCATGACCTCGAGCTGGGGATACGAGCCGGTAGACTTTGTGGGCAAACGTGTAGCCGTCATTGGCACCGGTGCGACAGGGGTCCAGATTGTTCCTATCATCGCCCACGGCGCGAAGTCGCTTCACGTGTTCCAAAGAACGCCCAACTACGTGCTTCCAGGCAGGAACTGGCCACTGCACGAGGAGGCGATGAACGAGATCAAGCGGAACTATGAAGACATGTGGGCCCTGGCCCGAAAGCACTCGATGGGGTTTGCAATCCCAACATACGGAAGGAAAACCAAAGACTACTCAAAGGAGGAGCAGCAAATGATACTGGAAGCTGGCTGGGAGTCTGGAGGCTTCAGATTCATCTTCGAAACGTTTGACGACATGACGACGGACCCAGAGGCCAACGAGGTTGCCTGCGAGTTCATCCGACATAAGATTCGAACCATCGTCAAAGACAAGAAAACAGCCGACTTGCTGTGTCCTCACTACCCTTTCACGGTCAAGCGACCCCCAGTCGGTCATCACTATTTTGAGTCCTTCAATCGGGACAACGTCCATTTGGTCGACATCAGCAAGCAACCAATCAGTGAAATCACTCCAAATGGTCTGAAGGTCGGAGACACTGAGTATGAGGTCGATATCATAGTTTTCGGGCTCGGATTCGACGTGGCTGTCGGGGCTCTTATGAAGATGGACATCAAGAGTCGAGGCCACGTGCTACACAAGGATTGGGACGACCGCTTGACAACGTATCTCGGCATCGGCGTCCAGGACTTCCCCAACTTCTTCCTCTGTGCAGGTGCACAAGCACCGGCCGTGAACGCACCGATGACTGTGGATGTGAGTATCGAGTTCCTGGGCAAAACATTCGAGTTCATGAAGAAGCATGGTATGACGAAGGTTGAGCCTAAAAAGGAAGCCGTCGATCGGTGGGAGAAGGTCATGAATGATGCAGTGAGCAAGACTTTGATCCCAGAGGCAGCGGGAAAGGTGGGATCATGGTATGTGGGCGCCAATGTTCCTGGCCAGAAACACAGAGTGCTGTTGTATTTCGGAGGACTTGCGCAATATCTCAATTACTGCAATGCAGAGGCAGACTCGGGTTTTGCTTCTTTTGAGATGAGCAAAGGTCATCTCGCGCGGAAAGTTATTGAGAATGGCGATCGTGCTTGATACATGGTTGAAGACAACATTTCCTAGATCAACTTCACCAGCATAAATAGATATCCATAAGGCCTTGATGATGTCTTTTCACCGTGTCACTGTAGATCCTTCGCGCATATCGAGAGCGCTCACAAGCCGGGAGAAGGAAACATTGGCCAGCCTTGCCTGCAGCCCATCTCTGATTAGGATCGAGTACCTCCACAGCATGACAGACTGGCGGTTGTTGTGAGGTTCCCGAATCCGGTTGAGGCGGCTTCGGATCCTCGGCCCCCGGTTGACGGGGTTGCCAACAGAAGAGAAACGACAGGATAATAAGCAGTTGGGGACCATTGTCATGCTCAAAACATTCGGACTTAGGCTCCTTGTGACACTTTTGCAACACCAAATATCAGACAAGTTTTGGTTTCCTGGAGTGTCCCCGACGAATGTGTTGAGCAAGGGCCTCAAATGAGAATATGGAGCGCCAATACCCGAGCTATGATTCTCTCCCTTTTCATCCGGATGTGGATAAGCGATCAGCGATAGGGATCTGGGATATCAATGGCCAAAGGGATCACTTAGGAGGTGAGACTCCTCCAAAGTATATGATTTTCGACTGGCGACAAGATCAACTGACCCAAGATTATGGCATCCACAGCCCTCAACCATCTCACCCCAGAGAGGCGTCTGTTGGCCGCTCAAGAGGTCAAGTACGGGGAGAGCTTCCAGCTTGATTGGCCCTTCCATAAGATCGGCACGCCAGCCTTCGGACGAAACGGTTTAAAACACACGCTCATCAAATTCCAGCCGAAGAATGGCCAACTAGTGCACGATGATGAAGTGTCATTCAACACACAAGCTGGGTCACAATGGGACGGCTTCATGCATCAAGGCGATCAAAGAAGTGGAGCTTATTATAATGGCCTTAAGCACAGCGACACCGTTTGTACAGAGGAGGGTGCCCACAGCGTTCATTGTAAGATTCCAGTCATCACTTGGAGGATGAGTACAATGATTGCTAATCTTTATGGGCTCTGAGACTGGTGTGAGTCTGGGATTGTGGGACGGGGGGTGTTGCTGGATTGGCCACGATGGCTAAGGGAGACCGGCAAGGAAGTACCCTCAGCGGTCACGCGACAAGGTAGCTGCACCCTCCTTATACAATCCCTGACTTTGTATTGACAGCTGCTCAGAAATCTCCGTCGAGGACATGAAGTCCATAGCAGCCCATCAAGGAGTCGAGTTCCGTCACGGGGACGTCCTCGTCCTCAGAGTCGGCTTCCTTGAGTGGTACGAGGCAACGGCAGAGGCTGAGAGGGATAAACAGCTTGCAGGTCTCCAGCTCGCGGGTGCCAAGCAAGGAGAAGAGATGCAGCGTTGGATCTGGGATAGCAGATTTGCCGCAGTTGCTGCTGATTCGTTTGGCTTCGAGTGTACGTTCCTTGAACGCTTCTGTGCCTCATCGGAGAGCCGTCCTTTCGTTCATGCCTGAGTGAAGCTATTACTGATAACAGCTAGGCAACCCACCGATCGGGGCAGAGCTTTTGCACCACTGGCTTATTCCGCATGCAGGGGTACCGATAGGGGAACTATGGCACTTGGACAAATTGGCTGATGCGTGCGCTCGACTCAAGAAATGGAGTTTTCTCCTCGCATCGGCTCCGCTGAATGTCAAGGGCGGAGTGGCAAGTACACCAAATGTGATAGCTCTGTTATAAATGAATAGAATCATCCTGTGTCTTTCCGCAACCATGGTCTATGCATTCCGTACTGGCTGCATACTGATCTCGGAAAGCCAAATGCAGCGGATATCCTGAGTCTCGTAATTCATTCTGCTTCCATCAGAGACATGACAAGCAATTTATAAGATATCATGGTACATTTCAACAGAATCTGATCATTTACCTCTTTGTCTACATATCTTGCCTCTAGGGGATATGATTCACTGTCCCAGTGTCTTTATCAACGACTTCGAAAGCCGTTACTAGGATACTATTGTATGTTAAGGGCCTTTCCTATGCTATTAGAGATAAGAGCTCGACATGATTTGAGACTTTGACCGACGTTGAGTAAGCAAATCCTCAATTTTCCTTGACTTTGATACACATTTAACCGCACATTTTCTATTTGTCTACTTCCGCTACAAATTTTTCTTGGCTCACAATTTTGGCGAAAGGCCGACAAAGACACCGCGCGGCGTAGATGCAGTACGAGCGGGAAGAAGGGAACGCATGATCTTCCCGGTGGCATTCTTCGGTAGAGACTTGACGGAGTATAAGCCACCTCGGAGCTTCTTGTACGACGACACCTTGGTGTTGAAGTCCTTCACAATATTCTCCAGAACCTTGTGCTGCTGTTCTTCTTCTATGCTCGGACTCAGAACCACGTAACCAACAGGTATCTCCGTCTCCTGTGTAGCGTCCCAGGTAGCAGTGACCGCAGCTTCAACAACGTCAGAGTACGAAGTAAGAATGTCTTCGAGCTCAGACGGAGCTATTTGGAGACTACAGCCCCTGGGTCAGCAGATATTTCAAAAATCGCGACTCCCACTAACCCTTTGTACTTGATCATGTCTTTTTTTCGGTCCTGGAACCACAGATGGCCATCTCTGTCAATTATCAGCGAGTCTCCAGTCCTCAGCCAGCCATCGTGGAATGCATTCTTGGTGGCCTCTTCGTTCTTCCGGTAGTGCCTGGTCAACGAAATTAGTCCAAACAGTATGGTCGATGGAGCGGCCTGACTATACATGAACACCGTTGGCGCTTTTATCAAGGCTTCGCCAGGTGTGCCTACAGACACGTCCTTCATATTGTCATCCACAAGTCGTAATGAACTTGAACCACTTGGTTAGCCAACGCAAGGGGACTCAGGGCCAGTGCAAACTCACACGCTGGGGAACAAAGTTCCCACGCTCCCAGCTTTGAGAGTCGCCTGGACCGGGTGCAACCTCGAAACAGTGCCTTCGCTCATTCTAACATGTTTGTTAGCAACGTCAGGAACACTTTGTGGGTGTTTTATATCAGGGACAACATACCCATAACCCTGTACTATGTGGACGCCATTCATGAGCTCTACCAAGATGTTGACTATCTCATAATGAAGTGGTGCTCCGGTGCAGACAATATATTGCAGGCTGGTCAGGTCTAACTTTGGCACTTCTGGATCTTTCGCAATGCTCATGGCGATTGAGGGGACGATCTTCATCAAAGTTGCACGCTTTTCTGCACACGATCGAATCCATTTGCGGAACTCGTACTGCTTCATAATCAACACATAGTTTCCAAAGAACGCCGCGCCGAGTACTGCAGTCATAAGACCTAGCATGTGTGCAACTAGACAGATATTGCTGTTAGACTAGTGGGTCAGCTCTTTCGCCCTCAAGGGCTTACTTACACGGTGGAAAGAACACCTCGACCATGCTGACATTGTTGAAGTGTGGCGCACCGGCACGATACGTCAGTAGGTTGGCGAGGACGTTGTAGTGGCTAAGATGGACTGCTTTGGGCTTCCCGGTCGTTCCTGAGCTAAATAAAACGCAGGCTGGGACGTCGTGGCTGTTGCGACCATTGAGATTGAGCGGCGGGATAGGCTGCTCTTGAACCATGACGCAGTCAGGAAACTATTTTGCATGATCAGCATTGCGACGTTGAATGTTTGCTCGAGAAGGGCTATACTGCGATATGGGCATCATTCCCTCCCAAAATCAAAATCGGAATGTTTCTGTCCGGGAAAATAGAACTGAGCACTTGTTGCACCTTGGTCCGGCTGCTTGCTTCGACGATGGCAATTGATGGATCGGCCAACTCAAGGTAATGCTTGAGCTCATAGGACGTTGCGAGGTGATTGACGCCCCTGGAATGGGTCAGTATGCTCCAACCTCGAGCTCATGGCACAGCCGATGGGTGTGTTGATGCGTACATACACAGCTATTGCGCCCAACCAGATTGAAGCATGTGCTGCCAAAGCCCAGTCCACAGAATTCGAGCCTATGATTGCCACCGAATCACCCTCCTTCAACCCGTATTTACTGGCTAATCCGCCTGCCGCAAGTGACGCAGCTTCTCGCAGTCCGCCGTAGGTCATCGTCTTCTTGGGCGACTCAAGATCCTCCCAGATGACTTTTTGAGCAGGCGCATCGTCGGGATTGAACGCAGTGAGATACTGATGAATTGACAAATCCTTGGGTACCTTGATGTCTGGAATATATGATCTATATATATTCCCGTCCTTCATGCTGGCCAATGGTAAACAGAACGCCGATGAACAAATTCTCTGTTTGGGAGGGATTCGAGGTAAAACATCGTCGCGACAGTCAATGTTGTGAAGCGACATTCTGGAGTGGGCCAATCATGAACGGCTGGGCACAAGGCTGGCGGCCACTTCTATCAGGCCTCAAGCCACGGCGAGCCGAACGCTGTGCCCTTGCGGCATTCCGGCCGCAGAGTCCCCACGACCGCCTGCTTCACCACCGCCTTTCTACAACGATCAGCGTGAACCACGGCTACAGGAAAACAGGGAGCGCTATGTCACAATGCCTGCCCGGTGGACGCTTGCTTTAGGCGTGGCTGTTTCCGTGCCAGGCAAGCTTCGACTATGCACTTCAGGAGACGGAATGGTAATCTCGGTCCCGGTTATCGCCTCAGGGATCGAAATAGGTCTAGCTCTTGCAGGCTGTACAGCCGCGCACAGCCGCGGATCACGAGCCGAAGGGACCAATGAGGGGACTGCATATCCCACCCCCGTCTATCTGGGGGAAGTTTGCCCGCAATCCACTCCGGGGTTGACTGGGGATAAAGTATCACCTCTCTGCGCATCTTTGGTGACTGTGTGCGTAGAAGTATCAGCTCCCAAGATGGCATCTACTGAGAGCAAGACCGATGCTGTTGCAGAGCATGGAGATGTAGCGCAAATCGAAGCAGGCAGCCTCCCAGGCCATGAAAAAATCAACATTTCTGGGGTGACTGCAGTGCACCGAAACGAGATCCCAGAGGGATACTACAAATCTTGGACTTTCATCGGAACTTTCGCAG